CTCCGCATCATTCTCTGCGAGTCGACCCACTGGACGGCTGTAACGAACGATAACGTCCGCTTCACCATCAACACCACCACCGATTCCATCTTCTGCACGTTGCCGACGCAGATGGTTGGCAAGCGTAAGTCGCTAAAGCCAATCTGATAAAAAAAGAGCTGAAAAGTATAAATGACCAATAGCTTATACTTTCAGCGGTCACCTGTCACGACGTAATTCCGGCCAACGATTGCCCATCGAACATCACCGAGTACACTTCGGATCTGATGCTGATTCCCTATTCGATGCCCGGCCTGGTCCCTGCGAACCCGCAATGCCTTCAAAACTACACGATCTGGTACCGGGACCCGAATAACGGAGTGTCGAACCCGCCGTCATCCTTGTAAGTTTTTAACGTCTGGTTGGCGCTCACCTCGCCGCCACCAATCCTCAACTGCCTCGATTTTACACGATTTGCTATCATAATTTCGAAATTCGTAATCTTAGAATTAAGGAATGTCGAAATGTCACAATGTCCAAATTTCATAATGTCGAAATTAAAATCTTTGAAATATTTTGCATAAAAATTCTCCGGGTAATTTTGCTCATGTAAATTTTGGTCTTATGAACTTCGACATCGTGAATTTCGAAATTTTGAAAGAAACCCATTTTAACCCGTGGGTTTGTGTGTTTTTTTTTATTTCTGGGCATAGGCGTTTAGGAAAGATATGTAGTAAACCTTATATGCATTTCCAGCCTAATCCGTTGCTACCAACCGGGCACGGATCTCAATAGCCCGACCCGCGCCAACTCGAGGATGCTCATCCTCGTCGAAGACCACGGAAAGTACCACCTGACTCGCACCCTCGGATGCGGCCCTACTAAATTCACCCTTGATGAGCAGTACACCATCGGGATCTCGGTACGTTAAGGTCAACAAGTAGCGAGCTAACCTTTTAGGTTTAAGCCTAAGCATAAAATTCAAAGACGACTTTTTCAGCCTGAGGCTAGGTTCACATGCGTCGACTCGCTGACCGCCTACGACGCCATGATGACGGCCAACGGCTACGATCCCTCCAACTGGGACTGGAACGCCTAGGCAACAAGAACTAGACAACAATTGTGTTTTGAGGTGAAATAAATTTTTGCATAGCCTCCACTCGAGAATCGCCAATACAGACAAGACGTTACAGCACTGGGCTAGGGGAGCCTTGCCTCAACGGCATGTGCTAATATCTGCAGCTCTCAAAGACTTGATTTTCGAAAATGCCAATGTTCATTTCCAACCAACAACGTCAACCCTCTCAACCAAAGTCAGAGTTCGGCGGTGAGAAATTCGGGTTCGAGGGCTGATGGGACGAGCTTCAAATAGTTTAACCTCGCGCCCAATTATGCCATCTGGCCAAGGCGAGCCCTCGAGCGCTAGTCTTTAATGCGGGTCGGTTGGTGAGCGATACCCAGGTCGGTACTTCAAGCTGATACTTGAGCGCAATTTTTGCTTTGCGGACTCAACACCCTTACTGTAAAGCTTTTCTGTCAGCTTACGCGCTGTTTGCAGGGACCCGAGAATTTCCGGAATCTCCGGTGATACAAATTCCACATTGCCCGTTGGCCGCGTAACGATGTGTTTCATAAATTGAGACCTTGAAATCTTGAAAAAAGAACTTTATATCAAACAAACGGGTACAAACAATAAAAAATTCTACAGAAAAAAAGCCAAGGATAAAAGAAGCAGATCAAATTGCGTATGTTGAGCGTCAACAAGGCATATGCAAATTGTACCAATGCCATTGTAGACGAAAAGGTACTGTAGTCGCTATTCGCCAGTTCCGTTGATAAGGACCCTAGGCGAGCGATTCGCTTGATTGGCCCTAAAGCAATTCATGACTGTGTAATTTCGTATTCTAGTCAACACTAGAGACGTTACGCATACCGACGCGACGTCGTGATAACATGCAAATTAGGATGCAAATATACTAAAAACAGCTCAATAACACGATTTTTTTTTGCGCTTTGCATACTAATTTGCATGTTATCCCGACGTCGCGTCGGCATGCGTGACATATCTAGCCTACACACATGAAAAAATCCATAGCCAACGTACCAGTAATAACCGCCCAGCACCGCGATGACAGCAAGACCCCCGACCGCAGCAACGTTGATATGTGTACTGAACTCCGGAAATAGGCGGCGGAGACCCATAGCAGTTAAAAACCCCAGGAGAAAGCTTGGTACAACGACGTCTCTCCATGGAACCATCGTCTGTAATTTAAGCATAACGCCGTAAATTCTCAAAAAGAGCTCCACTAAAATGAAATTAAATGAGGTATTTACACTGTTACGTGTACAGTACGTGTCTTCGGCCTAAGCCTACGCCCAAGCCTAAGTCTATGCCTAAGCCAAAGCCTAGGACTAAGCCTGTGCCTAAGCCTCAGCCTAAGCCTGAGTCTGAGCCTGAGCCAAGGCCAAAGCCTAAGCCTAAGCCCAAGCCTATGCCAAAACGTAAGCCCAAGCCTGGGCATAAGCCTAAGTCTAAGCCTGATCCTGAGCCTAAGCCTTGGTGGGATATTGTCTAGTCTTGTTAAGAGCTTTAATAGAATGATGCAACCAATAGTTATAATGTAGCACTGGGGATTTGACAAGCAGATAAGTTGGACTGAGTACTGAATGGAACATCGGTCACGTCACCTGGTTTCGAACGGTGCCATCTGCCGTAGGCGAGCCCTGGGGCACTTTTGTCTTTAGTGCAGGTTTGAAACCATAGGTGAGGCAACATTTAATTTTTGATCCTGAGCGTTTTAAGGTGTGGAAAATTTCTGGAAATAACTGAAGATGTCATTAGTGCTACGGTAAAGACATTCTGCCCGACTTCTTCAGCTTCCCAACTACAGGGTGTCCCAAAAAAAAAGACCCCCCCCAAAAATTTGAGCCAAAGGGCACCTACGGAGCTGAAAATTTGCACAGAGGTAGCGAAGGCAATTTTCTATGAACAAGGAAAGTTTCAGCCCGATCGGCCAGCGGGTTTTAAAGTTATAGCGAAAATACTTTTCATTTTTAATTTAATATGGGGACCTTTGAAATTTGCATCAAAGATATGCGTTATTCTTGCATTTACGAGCCGATTTTGCATAAATTTCGCTGAAAAGTGCCAGTTTCTTGATGGAGCTTTTGGAAAACGATTGCTCACGTAGCGAGAAAATGATCAGCAAGAACGATGAATACCAGACCTCATGGCGGACACTATCGTTGAACGCTTGAGCTTCGCTTAAACTTCAGCGTACGTGCCAACATAAGCCCAAATCTAAGCTTCGACACTGTTTTCGAGCTCGTCGAACTCTGTTTTCGAGCCGACGAAGCTCAAATCGCCAAAATGTACAATAAGACGTGATTTGGATCGATAAAACAATTGTTTTAACACTCTTTTTATTTTTCATACGCAATCGTTTTCCAAAAGCTCCATCAAGAAAATGGCACTTTTCAGCGAAATTGATGCAAAATCGGCTCGTAAATGCAAGAATAACGCATATCTTTGATGCAAATTGCAAAGATCCCCATATTAAATTAAATATGAAAAGTATTTTCGCTATAACTTTAAAACCCGCTGGCCGATCGGGCTGAAACTTTCCTTGTTCATAGAAAAATGCCTTCGCTACCTCTGTGCAAATTTTCAGCTCCTTAGGTGCCCTCTGGCTCAAATTTTTGGGGGGGGTCTTTTTTTTTGGGACACCCTGTATTTCCAGGCCTGCGTTCGCAACGCTTCTACTACTACGTTTCAGTGCGTTTTCTTCCATTTTTATCGTGTCACTATGTCTCGTGTCGCAAAACGGCTTATCAGCCACGAGACAGCCTGGGAAAGCGGCGGTAAGGCCAAAAACGGATGGCTCCTCCTCCGTTTTTGACGGGTGACAAATATTTTGGCGAAAGTTGACGGCCTTTTGGTGATGTGATGATAGATCGTATTTCGTTATAATTTTTAATAGTTCTTTAAGGGTGCTTTAACCGAATTTAAATTTGAAAATTTTGTCGAGTTTATGGACTAGACCCCAAAACCAGCCGAATCTATGATATCTCGCTTTCCGTAAGATTTTAACTAACATTTAGCATTCTTTTTCTATCGTTCTCGGTCTCCCCACGCCCTCCCTCTCACTCTCTCCTCTCTCTCTCGCTCTCTTTCGCCCTATCTCAGTCGCTCTCGCTCTCCATCTGCATTTTCATCCCTGGAAAACCACACTTCCCCTTAAAAATAACTTACCAAATTTTCATTATGCTAAATTTGCTTTTAAGTTAGCGGCATTGAAATTACCATTACCCTCCAAATATTACCATCTCACCCACCTGTTTGGAACACCGAAAAATTGCCATTTCGGGCCGACAAACACTTTCCCCACTCGATGCACCCACCACAACCCCCCGGATAACAGCACAGCCACTCCGCATTGATCCTAGCCACGTGTGTCGCCAGTTTTTTTCTCTCGCCCTCTTGCCCTTTCCCAATCTCTCGCCTCCCCGTCCACAACTGGCTGCCCACACGAAATTCCGGGGGACAACACTTTTTACCCAGGAAAAAGGTTCTCCACTCGCCGATTGCCTTGATGGGCTCGGCGTATGATATGATTTTTTTCAGAGGATTTGTCAATTTTGATAGTTTTCGCATTTAAGGCAACTTTTTATAGTTTATTTTTTGGTTTTGGGCCTGTTAATTCTTGAAATAGACGCTTAAATGCCGAAAATTTCTGTTTTAGATGGGCGAATTTGCATTGTTTTTAGCTGATTTTATTTTTTTGAATTCGTTTGGCTTTAATTCAAGTTATTAAAGAGTTTTGAAGCCGATTATATGATGAAAAACTCTGTGTGTTTTTTTTAGTTGAACGCTTAAAATGTAAAATTTTAAAACGGGAAATTTTTGGGTTCTTTTAAAAAAGCTTGACTTTTCAAACGATCTAAAAATAAATTTATTGCTTTTTTGTCATTTTTGTGTTGTTCTTGATAGAGACTGCTGGAGTTCAATGCCTATTTTTAAGATGAACATCTCACCCCGGATTTGCCGGCCAAACGGCCCGATTTCTTGGATCGCCCAGCGAAATTTGACGGCTAACGAGGCGGCCGTTGCGTTGAGGTATTGACTTTTAAAGGTATACGTAATCTCAATTTCCAGACCCTTCTATTTCCTCGTCCACCCCGATCGCTTCGCCCAGCTGCCAAAAATCAGGGAGCAAAATGAAAAATCACTACAGGTAATGGCAAAAACTAGAAAAATTCACCTTGAAAATTCAGATTTTCAACGGCTACTTGAACGATCTGTACCCACATCAGCCCAGCTTGTCGAGCCATCGGCCGATTGAGGTTGCAGAGCTTAAAAAATTACGAAGTTTTAGGTCGCTTTTTCGATCCATAACAAGGTCACACGGGAGATTGAGGACGTGAAGATTAGTCTTTCTGGCACGGATCCGAGGAATATCGTGGCGTAAGTGGTTTTTTGGAGTTTGCTGACACCCTGTAAAAACAGTTCCTTAAAGGGCTAGTTCAACTTTTAGAGCTTGGGCTGGTACCTTGGGAAACTATGGACGTAAGCACAATGCGCCCGAACAGTCCCCCATTACGGCAGCTATTAGTGATCGGGGAAAGGAGAGAGGCGCAGACACAAAAACGCAGAGAGAGTTCGACTCCTGGCCGCGGAAATTCTTTTGTTTTATTGGCTGAACAAGCCCTTTAAAAACAACAAACTAGTAAATCTTGCTGTGACGATGCCGCGGAATTTCGTGGCGTAAGTGGTTCAGTAGACTTTGCTGGTGCCGTCCCTTTAGCTGCTTCTTGGAAGTTTAAAGGGATAGAGACAGCCAAACCAGTTTTTGCCACTGACTTGGCGGTTGTATACCTTAGTTTAGACACGCGCTGGAGAGATGTCGACTTCCGACCCGCGGTTTACCGAGAGGTCGAACCCGATCCCCACCTCGATCGGCCCCGAAAACCCATGGCGCCAACCCGAATGACCTGATGGCCATGTACTTGAGGTATGAAGTCAAAGAAGCTACCTTATTTTACCTGTCTGACTACACTACTTATGCTACAATATTCCCAATTTAGACGCAAAAAGAAAGCCTCACCACCGAACGACATCTTCTCGCGACTGAACGGAAAACGTGACCACGCGATTCGGATGAGCAAGGAATACGAGTAAGACGTTGGCGAAAAGCTAACCCTCAATTGGAATTATAGAAGCTCGAAAATCACGATGAAGGACGATATTGACGAGCTGAAGTACAGGACTGGGTTGAAAGATGTGGGTTGTAGTTTGTAGGCGTATTCTGGCCGGAAGGTATTAACGATACATTGCTTCTTTAAAGTACAAAACTTCACCTCCCGTTTTCAGGTGATCTGGCAAATCGAGTGGACCGAGGCGCACATGAAGCGTTGTATTCACGGTGTCCTTCGGATGCTCAACCAAACGGATCCGGAAGTGAAGGAGTTGATCCAGAATGCCCTCTACAAAAGCACTCTAAGGTAGGGGAAATTACTTCGGGAAAAAATCTGGATTATACTGTAATTGAAAATCCCATCGAAAACACTAAAACATCGTGTTTTCCAGATTTGGCCGAGGCTCGTTTGTTTGCTGTGATGGGAGCTTGCAATTTGGTGCTGATCAAGTTCCGGAAATGTGGCAACAGGTGAGCAAAATCAGGTTATAAGACCTAACTTTAAAATCTAAAAATTATCTACACTTCCCCACAATTTCTATTTTCCGTAAATGTGAATAAAGCTAATTCGTTTTGCAACTTTTTATAATCATTTTATTTTCATAAACGTTGATGAAATTCAAAGCTTTCGTTCTCAATACTGTTTCGTGTAACCATCGAATCTGGATCGTATTTCTGGCGATTCTGAAGCATCGTAGCACTCGTTTTCCGCTCCTTTTCCGGCCTGAATCACCTGAATCTGATATTCGGGACCTTAATTTTAACAATTTTCCATACACTTATGCGCTTGAGTTACGTGAAGCAAATGTTCAAAAAGAAGATCAAGGCCGAGCAGGCGGCATACCGACAAATGGCGATCATTAGCTAAACTCTGATTTTTAAAATCGCCCTTTTCCAACCTTGGCAGTGGTAGTGAGGATCTCGACGTACACATTCATTATTTCTTGAGGTAGCGCTGCGAAGAATTAGTCGTTTAGTAGGGGTTGTTGCGAAATTGTTATACCCGAGGGAGCGGAAGGACGCTGCTCATTTTGTAGGCGGGGGGGCAGGGGCGGGTTTTTTCGGCATAGAAAAACGCCCACCGAGATCAAACTAATATGGTTTGGGGGTTACGGTGGTCGAGAAAAAGAGAAGAAAGAAAAAAGGCTTTCCCGGGATACCGTAGCTTCCGGGAATAGCGCAAAATCGGGGCTTTACGGTAAGCGAAGCGGCAAATTTTTTTTCGAGATATTTACCAGAAAACGCAAAGCTTTGGGCCTGAATGAATTAACAAGGTTTATTTCAATACATTCTCCTAATTGAGATTCCTCTGGGATCCCCCTTGGGGTTTGGCCAGCCTAATTTTTGAATAGAATTCTGAACATGTCGGTCTGGATTTTTTGTATCGAGTACACTTTTGGTTCGAAAAGGTGAGAAATCGATTTATTGTGAACCGTGGATTCACGAATCTTAAAAAAAGATAAACTTCGTCGTTTGTTTAGAAAAACAATAGTAGGGCAAGTATTTGATGCCGTACACGGTTTAACATTCGGTGCTGTCCTCCTTCCGGATGACAAACGGCTTGTTGACGAGGGTGAGCGGGACCTCGGCATCATAGCGAATCCGTTCCATCTAGGATTTCGATTTTAAGGGGCATGGACGAAAGTTGGCCTTGCGTACAGACGCGTAGCATTTCTGTTCTTTCATAAAATTAGCTGTTAGCTAAGAATTTATAGCCACGCCATGCGCCCTCTAGCTCTTTAAGCTTTCAAAGCTGTTGAAAAGGTAGTATTCAAATAGTTTAAATTCGATTTTGCATTTTATAATGCAAAAATAGCAGCCTAAAAATGGTCGAGTATTGTATACTCTACCATTTTTAAATTAAGAAAGCTGTCCTATCCACGTTCTTACCTGTGAACGCTCCACCAACGCCCGGCAGCAATTGAGAAACAGCAGAATGCAAGAGTAGATCGTATACAGCAAGCAGACAGCAATGACCAGCTAGTTTTTGATAAGCTTTTACGCTTCAACAACCCACCTGGCTGGCATAGAGCAACATTTGACTGTAGCCGTCCATCTTCATTGAAAGTGTACCGCAAATTTTGGGATTTCAAAGGGGTAGTTTGGGCTGTTGCGGAGGAATCCCTGTGGACCTGGCGGACCGGCCGATTTGTAGCCCGAGGCCGGCACCCGTTTTTAGCGTGGCAAAGGTCCCGCCAGAGGCTCCGGTAATTAATATTTTGGGTACGGTATTTGGCCTTTCCCGTGGAAGAAAAATATGGTGGCCTGGTTGGAATCGAAAAAGCTGAGATCGCCTGGTTTGTTTTTCAGAGGGCGTCTCAAGGGGGGTTACGATAACCGAGTAGCATAGCATAAGGTAGGCGGGCATTTCTGGTGTATGGCACTCTATTGGTGCCACTGCCACTTCCTGAATTTCTGTACTAATTAAACCGGTTTTAATCTGCATTGCCGCTTCTTAAAGAGATAGGGGCGGCATAAGTCAATCGATTACGCGAGGGAAAGAAAATGTCTCTGCGCCTCTCCCTTGGGCGCCCTCTCTCTCTCTGGACTCTGTTGAACCCCCCCTCCCCTCGGGGTTCAATCAGCATTGCCGTCTCATCTCTTTAAGGCTTCATTTTCCCGATTTTTCAATATCTCTATCTCAAACGCTGGCTTTCTGCCCACCCTAACTCTCTCTCTCTCTCTCTCTCTCTCTCTCTCTCTTCTCTCTTTCTATCCTCGCTCCTGGCGCCTTCATTTCACTAGCTAGTTGTCCCATTAAAAGCATAGTTTTTAAATATAGGTACATCTCGTTGAGTTTCAGGCTTGTGAAGAAGCCTCCGTCCGTCGCTCCCAGCTTCCCAACCTCCACGCAATGACGGCAAAACTTCGCGAACTCCTCCCCGGCGCCACCATCCTCACGCCACACCATCGTGGCCTCGCCCAGACCACCCAGCAGATGCATACACTCATCGTCAGGTAGGACATCAACCTTTAACAAGATACAGCTTTAACGTCTTACTAAAGTTCTTAATACTGTACTTTTCAGAATAGAGAACAAAGAACCGGCAGTGAAATCGAAGCTCGGCAAGTACACTGATGGAAATGTGGTACAGGTGAGGCAATGTTTCTTGGCATACACTTCTTATAGCTTACTCTATCGTTTGCCTTTCCGGAGTGGAACGTAAAAAAAATAATTGATGAAGCCCAACGCTAATCATTCAAATTTATTTTTGAGGTAATGACGTCCTACGACGAGCTGGCAGTCGGTGTCGATGGTCGTCTATGTATCCCGTGTAACGTCGATGTCTCTGCCCTCCTTGAATTCCTCCAACAAAGTGCTGGTGACGGGAAATTGTTGCAAAAGCGGATGCAGGAAGCTCGGGTACGGGTTATTTGATGGCTTCTTGAGGCTTTTTGATTTACTACGAAAGTCTTTGAGTTTATACAGCCTTTTTGAAGCCATAAACAAAGCTTTTTCAGCAAGAACTCGAAAAAGAAGCCGCACTTGTCGCCGGTGAGCTCGGGCTTCCGATTTTGGACTGGGAGTCGAATTTGCCGCTCGATGCTGTGCTGAAGAGCGTCCGGAGGTTGCCGACGATGGATCCGCAGGCAAAGTAAGGACAGCAGGACCGGCCAGATACTAGGCAATCTCGCAGAGATCCTATCCTATAAGCGAGAAAAGTATGTTTGTTTTCTGTAATGACGATTTCTCGGCCGTCAGGCCGAATTTCGCGCTGATTTTTGGCATGGAGGTGGAGAAACGCATTTGTCAGACACGCATTTTTTTGTTTTTCGAAATTCCTTCATCTAACAATTTTACAAGCAAAATGGTGAAAATCCTTAACAAAATGGGCTACGAGCCATGGTGTCCGGGCCATAACTCGAAGGCCTGATGGAATTTCGGGCTGAAATTTGGACCACTTATGTATTCGATAGTGGGGATCACGCGCATCTTATTATTTTTACAAATTTTCGGCGCATTCAAACTAAAAAAAGCGATTTTGCGAAATTACTAGAAGTCTTCCCGCCCGGGTTGGACCGCGCCACCAGGACCGAAGAGGCCTTTCCGCTTCCCGTCCCCATGCCCCCTTTGGTATAGTGGCTTGACGCCCGGTCTAGCACGCAAATGGTCGAGGGTTCGGATCCTCAGCAAATTTGCCTTTTTGCTTTTTGATAGTTCAACAACAAAACATATCGAGGCTCTCGGTATCCGAAATTTAGGCCAGGCCCTCGCTCTAGCGCCGCAGGTCAAAGAAAATATCCTTGGCCCGGGCTCTAGCGCCGCAGGCCAAATGCTGAAGAAAAACCAGTAGCTAGCGCCGCAGGCCAGAGAATGGTTTAGAGTCAGGCTCTTGCGCCGCAGGCTTGAAAAACGGAAGGGGATTATATGGTTCCTCGACGGGGGCCAGTGGAAAAGGGCCGCGAAGCGGTCATTTTCCACTGGTTCTACAATATCCAGCATCTTGAATCTTTTGCTTTGTCTAGGAGCTCCTCTGCAAAAAGTTGGGGCAGGCTAGCAGAGATTTTTTAAGACCCAGAACCCCAATAATTTTCGTTTTCAGGGACCTCATCAAAGGCCTCCACGTCCGCCTCTCTACCAACACTACCGTCGCGATCCAGGGTGACGGCAAGATCTCGCTACCTCTCGACTGGACATAATCGACCTTTTGTGTTATAGTATTACCCCTATTTTCTTACTGTTATTTGTTACCTCTTGTATGTACATATAGGCATAGTAGCTCCTATAGCTTGTCTAGCCCCCGGGGTATTTTGTACCCAGCTTTCCTCTATTCACTTGGCGCTTCATACCGGTTCCACTGGCTCACGGCCTCGCCCAAACTTGCTCGTACGGGATTATATTACTTCTCTTTGATTTTCGATTTGCTCATGATTGATTTATGCTAATTCTTAATACGTGCATATCGCAATAAAGATATATATTAAATCGTGGTTCATTTTCTGCAAAAAAGTCCCCCGAATCCAGCACAAATTTTGGTCATTCCCGGGCTCGGGATAAAAAGGATATAAGGGTCGGCGACCTTTTAGCAAACTTTTCATCGGAGATTTTCCCGCCCAGGCCCAGATCTCCGGAGATATACCTTTTTTGGTGCCTGTGTCCTTATTTCCTGCAGCATCTCCATCGTAAAAGTTTTTAGAGTGCCGACTGCATTCTAGAAGATACAGCATTTGAGGGTTATGTTCATTTTTCCTAAAGCTCGTTTTTCCTAAAATTTGTCATTCAATGTGGATGCGTAATTGGTATTAGTCGGCGTTTATCAAAAAATTTTCTTATCATCAGTGTTACTTTTTGACTTTCAATCACCCAAATCTGGGCTGAAAGCGCAAATAAAAGACTTCCTATCACCATGCTAGGCACATCTGAATTTATTACAAGCAAATTTCGATTTTCTCAGCCATAATACTAAATAACTGAGGCCTTTTCGGTATTTAACCGGTTTTAGGCAAAATGAACTTTAGGAGAAATGGATTTTAGGAACGTAAAATGATTTATTGTGGCGCGCAGAGCCTCGGTCAGGAAACTGGAACGTAATAAAAAGGAAAATCAAGGAAATAGAGGCTGACGGGCTTTTTGTGAAGTTTTCTGCCCAGCCAACAATCTCCGGAGATACACATTTTTTTGTCTTATGCCATTCCCAACATCAGCTGCCCTATCCATTAGTATCTCTCGGTGTCAGGGTGATCTATATAAAAGAGCCCATCTGTTCCCTCCCCTCGCCGAAACGCGCGCGGCCTGGCCCGCTGTGCCAAAATTGCGCAAATTGGCGTTTATACTACCAAATTACAAAATCGATCTTTAAATATGAAAATGAAGTTTTTAGATTTTGTTCTTGATAAGTTTTGGGGTTTCTGACCGCTCTTTACCCGAATCCGAAGAGACCCAAGCTCTAGCTCCTTTCCCCTTCGAGTTAAATTTGGCTTCAGACACACGGAGACCATAACAAAATTATTATAGTTGATTGATACTATCAGCTTCTTCCCCTATCCAGATATCTTCAGGACAAGCTGACGGAAGTTGCACAACAATCATTTTTTTTGTAAATAACGGGATAAGCACTTTAATCGATGGTATTTCCAATTTCAGCCGTGATCATCTCCATCTACGATGAAACCATGCAGGCGGGAGACTGCGAGACGGTGACTGAAAATTTTGGCGATTACCTCACGAGCGTTGGCGCTTAAATTTCCAACGAGCCTACGAAACATGCCTTTCGTCATTTGCAAATTGCCCCGCCCTTTCGGTCTTTTGAATAAACACTTTTGTCCACTTTCTGCAACTACGGATCATCATAGCAAAACCCAAAAAAGGTGTGCCTTACCAAAAAAAGGTACAATGGAAAACGCCGAGAAACTTATCGTTTGGGCTAACAAGGAAACCTCCCCAGCTCGAAGTTGGACTTCGATTAGCCATATAGCCTATCTGATGCAGTTTTTCGCGCTGATAACGATACCGATATTTATTTTTGCCGAGCACCACAGGAACATTGTTAAAAATCGATTTAAAGTTTCGTCATGTCTGGCAGCCCCGCCTCAAAGCCCCTCCCCACGGGGAAGGATCCATCGGCGGCGTGGTGTAGTCGGCAAATACTTGGCCTACCAATCTCGAGGTCGCTAGTTCGAGTATTGCCGCTGACGACTTTTTTGCTTTTTGCTTCAAAAGGGCTGTGAAGGTCCTAAAACTCATTAAGAAAAATGTTTTTAAGTTTTTTTTGCACATTTGGTAGTTACTTCAGGTAGTTATGGCTACAACGAACCACAGGCCTCGATACGATCCTCATGAATTTTATGACCTCAAAACGCTTACCTTGGTGCAGAAATGAAGCTTGACATAAGATGTAAAAAAAAACTTAAAGACAGAACCTATATGTTCCTTCGCCTTTTTTCAAAAAGTTTTCAAAAGAGTGGCTGGTGCATTAACTAGTTGGTGATCCACCGATAATTCCAAATGTCTTCGGCGGAAAAACAGTCTTTCCGAGAAATCGAATCGAGCAACTTGAATTGGTGACCGAAAGTTCAAAAAAACTTAAAAACATTTTTCTTGATGAGTTTTAGGACCTTCACAGCCCTTTTGAAGCAAAAAGCGAAAAAGTCGTCAGCGGCAATACTCGAACTTACCTCTGGATTGGTAGGCCAAGTACTTGCCGACTACACCACGCCGCCGATGGATCCTTCCCCGTGGGGAGGGGCTTTGAGGCGGGGCTGCCAGACATGACGAAACTTTCAATCGATTTTTAACAATGTTCCTGTGGCGCTCGGCAAAAATAAATATCGGTATCGTTATCAGCGCGAAAAACTGCATCAGATAGGCTATATGGCTAATCGAAGTCCAACTTCGAGCTGGGGAGGTTTCCTTGTAAGATAGGGTAGGCTTTTCTCGAGCAACGTCAAAACCGTGTCTGGACCGACAGCTGAAACGAAATAAAAAAATGAAGGAAATGCGGATTGACAGCCTTTTTGCAGACTTTTCGTCCCGGGATTTTCCAGCCAATTCAGCGATATCCGATGGTATCCCTTTTTTTGGCGGCTGCCTACCCTATCCATGTTCAGTATTTTTCGCTCACTGTAATCTATAGAAAAAAAGTGAGTTGACTGCTATAAAACCAGACTAAAATCACAACCAAAAACCAAATACAAGTCAGAATGAGACTCATCATCGTCATACATCTCGCTGTCTAGGTCGCATCCGGTAAGGAAATATGGAGGCTATGAGAGCTTCAACCGTTTTCAGCAATTGATCTCTCAAATACAGGGTGTCCCAAAAACATTCTTAACGTAAAAGCGCCATTTTATAACGAATTTAAACACTTTACGGATCGGCCTCTCCATCTAATTAACGACAACTTCCGGTCATGTGGCTTCGGAAAGTTGAGACAAGTTAGCTCCTCTGCAACTCCGAAATACAGGAAAAGCCCACGAAATGGCTTGTAAAAGGGCGCATTAAAAAAAAATCTCTTTGACGATTGTTTCGAACTCGGCATTTCGAGGACTCTCGAATGGTTTAGGTACACTAAAATCTCGTTCAAAATTTTCGCAGTGTACGGGAATTCGGGCTCTCTGCCGCCTCTGGCCCTGACCCTTCATAGCCGCTCTCCCCTTCCCCTCTCCCGTCTCTCCCGTGGCCTATTGGTCTGTGGCGCTTGCCACAGGCGAGCAGCCCGGGTTCGGTTTTGCTCCGCGGCGAGCGCCTACCGCAGGGCTTGACAACGGGCCGGGCCGGGCCGGGCCCGGTGAGGCCCGTTTGCCTGTCTTCTGTCGTAAAGCAAAAATATAAGGCTAGATTGAAAGTGCATACAGGGTGTCCCAAAAAAAAACGAACCATCTCGCATTTCGCCATGTCACATCCAATCGGTCCCAAATTTGGACCAGTGGTGTATCGGACCCTAAATAACAACAACCAGGGTTGAAAAGCCGCTTTGCAACTTCGGACCCCATTTTTCTCCCAACACCTCTCCTGCCCTTTATATAGGCGAATCTCCATTTCCGGTCTATGCTAATTGTTGCGAACAAAGGGATTTCACAAAAACTTAAATTTAATGTCGAAAATAGGTGATTTTGTTGAATCTCATATGCGTGCAGGGTAAGAGTCTAGTTTACCCCCCCCCCAGCCCTAACTTTTCAGCCATGCGTCCTATTAATGCACCGAGTATCTCAAAATGTTCGCCGTGGTCGAATTACTCTAGCCAAGTTGTTTTCTTACATCAAAAAATGTAAGAAAATTTTTTACAAGATTTTGAAAGTTGAAAAGATTAAGCCGGCATGCTTCGATGTATCAGGAGCCTAAAACTCAAATATTTTTATTTTCCGCTATTTTTTTCGACTCAAATGCATTGTAGGCTGATTCTCCAGAGCAAAAGCTACATTTTGGTACCATTGACAGCTCTGTACGTCAAAAGATAGCCGAGATACAAAAACTCACTTTGGAACAGCAAAAATTAACTAAAGAAAACCCAGACTTATAATTGTTATAAAAATTTTTCTAACAATTTTTGATGTATGGAAACAACATGGCTATAGTAATTCGACCACAGCGAACATTTTGAGATACTCGGCGCATTAATAGGAAGGCTGGTTGAAAAGTTACGGCTGGGGGGTAAACTAGACTTTAGCCGCGTGCAGTCCTCTCCAGGCCATTACGCACCTAATGACGTATCATACATACCTTAAAATTCATCCCCTATCGAGATATCCTCCGGACAGACAGACGGAAGTGGATGCAAAGTGGCACACACACACAGACACTATTTCTTTTATAGATAGTAGGATCTAGGGTTGTTTCTAGGAACAGACCGAGATTCGGAACTTTCGGAACAAAGACTGGTCGGAACGGTCCGAGATTCGCGTGTTGCGGCTGTTCCGAGATTCGGAACAATCCGAGATTCAAATGTTGCGGTTGTTCCGAAATTCATAGTGTTCCGACTGTTCCGCGATTCGGAACGTTCCGAGATTTGGCTGTTCCGACTGTTCCGAGATTCGGAACAGTCCGAGCTTGAGCTGTTCCGAGATTCAAATTTTTTCGCATGTGAATTTCGATTTCGTGTAAATTGTGTAGAATGCATGTAACTGTTTCGATTTTGCCGTGACACGGCAGTGTGGGCGCAACTGAACACTTAATTCCGTCGATGGTTAGATATCGAATCCGGAAATTAGAGAAATGAGAACGAATTGGGGATCGTATCGAATCGAAATTCAGTCGTGTTTGGAAATTTACATGCGAAAAAATTTGAATCTCGAAACAGCTCAATCTCGGACTGTTCCGAATCTCGGAACAGTCGGAACAGCCAAATCTCGGAACGTTCCGAATCTCGGGTATATGAATCTCGAAACAACCGCAACATTTCCTCGGACTGTTCCGAATCTCGGAACAGCCGGAACACGCGAATCTCGAACCGTTCCGACATTCGGAACAGTCGGAACGGCTGCTGTTCCGAATGTTCCGAATCTCGGCCTGTTCCGAGAAACAACCCTAGTAGGATCCTGACTTACAGCCCTGTTGCTATAGTAGTTCTTGTGTTACCAGCCGATTACAGCCGCTTCGCGACTGTAATCGACTGGCCTTCGGGCTACCCTCCATGTTATACACCACCACATTACACCTCTACCTTCATCAATACCCACGCTGGTCGCTTCAGATACCTACTATGGCCAAACCCCTGCAAAAACTTAGCTACCTAAACTACGACACCTTCCGGATGGCTTCCCATACCCCCATAGCCGAAATCCCCTTCAAAAACTACCTAAATACCTTCCTGATTGCTTCAGATACCTCCCCTAGCCGAAATCCCCTTAAAAAAAACAAAACTAACGACCGACCGGATACGTGGGAGAAAAAAAGAAATGAAATGGCTCCCGTGAAAATTTTCATCCACGAAACGCGCGCGACCTGGCTCACTATGTCCAAATTCACCCCAACCTCCGTCCCCGACCCCTTTTACTAAGGTAAAAACTTTCAAAGTTAATTTTAATAATTTAAATTAAAACTTTTTCATAATTTTTTTATCAGTTTGGGGGGTTTCTGACCATGCTCTATCCGAATCCGAAGAGAGCTAAGCTCTAGCTCCTTCCAGCTTCGAGTTGAATCCGGGACATGACAGACGGACGGACAGACACCCCTACCTTTTTATTATAGTTGATAGCAAAAACAAACTTTATTTTCTTTTCATGGTGTTTCCGTGGGATTAGACCCCCTAAATGTTAAGCGAAAATGATTCGGCAGACCTTCTTTACCTTAAGAATTTCAAGCTGTCAAGCTAAAACAGAACTCGATTTCCAAAAATTTATGGAATTTGAGGCTTTACATTACCGCAATTTGAATAATAAGTGTGCTGGGGATTTGCATAAAGACCGGTTTCACTTCCGGGACCGAATCGTGAAAAACGGTTTTTTTAACCCCGAACCGATTTCCGAGCCTGGCAAAAACCGGTTTTGCCTCCTGAATCGACTTAAATCGGTTCGAAGGCGGAAACCGGTTTTCGTCCAACGATTTAATCGTTTAGGGTATGCTAAGCGATCGATCGGAAACCGGTTGCGCCAAAACCCAACCCTACCGGTAACGAGCGTTGTCACATCCATACCCACCGTGACCGAACATACTTTACTCCTCTGTCGACTTCTGCCGAAATTTTCGCGCATCATTTTTTCGTGGTCTCGTATCGTTACTATTATTTAAATGGGGAATTTTTTAGAAACACTTCTTTAGAACCCCTTACCTCGCAGTTAACATATATCGATAATACGATCTTTTTTGCCATCATGGCGCCGTAAAAATCGCGATTTAACTAACCCTAGGATCAGCGCCTAGGGGTATCAACTATAATAATTTTGTTGTGGTCTCCGTCCGTCCGGTCCCGAATTCAACTCGAAGGGGAAAAGAGCTAGAGCTTAGGTCTCTTCGGATTCGGATAGAGCGCCCTCAGAAACCCCCAAACTGATAAAAAAATTATGAAAAAGTTTTGATTTAAATTGTTAAAATTAACTTTGAAAGTTTTTCCCTTACAAGGATACCTCCCCAGCTCGAAGTTCGACTTCGACTAGCTATATAGCCTAGCAGATGTAGTTTTTCGCGCTGATCACGATCCCGATATTTATTTTTGCCCAAATCCAGACGAACGCTATGAAAAATCATTTTAAACATTACGCATTTTTGCCTGGCTGGGCGGGATCTGCCACAGGCGCTTCAAAGCCTCCTTCCAAGGGGGAGGCATCCATCGGAGGCGTGGTGTAATCGGCAACTACTTAGTATACCAATCTAGTGATCAAGGGTTCGAGTCTTGCCGCTGACGACTTTTTTGCTTTTTGGATAAAAAGTGTTGGGAAGGCCGTATAAACGCCCAATTAAAAATTTTTTGATTTGTTTTGCATCGCTTGTGGGTTTGATTACGATTTTATGTTCGGTTTCATTTTTTTGGTCAAAGAAAGTTTGAATTATCAAAGGGGTCAATCAGCAGCTTCTAGCGCTTGCTCAAAACTGTTTTGAGTTTCCGAAAAGGAATTTGTTAGGCGTTGTTTACCATCGATTTTGATGTCTAGCGTTTTTCTGTTCCAGGGTGAGAAGGAGAGTTTTTAATGGCACAATTACTCATAATCATCTCAGGTTGCCAAAAAAATCGGTGTTCATATGACCTTCCCAGCACTTTTTATCCAAAAAGCAAAAAAGTCGTCAACGGAAAGGCTCGAACCCCTAACCACTAGATTGGTATGCCAAGTACTTGCCGACTACACCACGCCACCGATGGTTCCCTTGTCCTGGGGAAGGGCTTTGAGGCATGGCGGCAAATCATGGCAAAACTTTAAAGCTATTTTTAACAGTGTTCCTGTGGATTTGGGCAAAAATAAATATCGGGATCGTTATCAGCGTAAAAAACTGCATCTGTTAGGCTGTTTAGCTAATCGAAGCTGAACTTCGAGCTGGGGAGGTATCCTTGTTAGTAAAAGGGGTGGGGGACGGAGGTTGGGGTGATTTTGGACATAGTGAGCCAGGTGGCGCGCGTTTCGTGGATGAAAATTTTCACGGGGGATTTCATTTCTCTTTCTCTCTCATTCCATCCGGTCGGTCGTTATTTTCGTTTTTTAAAAGGATTTCGGCTAGGGGAGGTATTTAGGTAGTTTTTGAAGGGGATTTCAGCCATGGGGGTATCTGAAGCCATCGGGAAGGTATTTAGGTAGTTTGGCTAAATTGTCGTATCCGGTCACTAAACCGATTTTGGATTTTTATATGTCAAAATGCTCAGCAGGTCGAGCTGATTACAGATCAGTTGAAAAAACTTTTGGGAAACACTTCTAGCTCGAGATATGAAGCTTCAAAGTTCGACTTCAACACGTTCATTATATAACTGTTCTCGCCCCTAGAAGTCCGTTTTCAGTGCGGAAAAAGATGGATAAGTGCTCGATAAGAGCTTAGCTTTACTCACCACACCAAGTTTGAGCCTAAAAATAAGGCTTCGTGCCACCCGGGGCCTAGTCGCTTCGGATGGGTGCGAGCTCGTACAGGGTTTCGAAATCGGGGCGCCCGAGGCGCGCGTAGCGGCCAGGCGCCCCGATTTCGAAAGAGTGGAGCGGCAGCCCATCCGAAGCGACGGCCCACCTTGCCTGACAATGTTTTTTTACCCAAGAAACAGCAATTCCCTACCATTCCGTTTTTTCCTATTTACAGTTCGCGTATATAGGTGTACTACGTCTCGGCCTGTTTTGAGACCTTGTAAGCTACATATCTCACGATAGCGATTTTTCCCAAAAGTTTTTTCAACTGATCTGTAATCAGCTCGACCTGCTGAGCATTTTGACATATAAAAATCCAAAATCGGTTTAGTGACCGGATACGACAATTTTCCCGGTAGTTTTTGAAGGGGATTTCAGCCATGGGGGGTACCTGAAGCCCTCGGGAAGGTATTTGGGTAGTTTTTGAAGGGGATTTCAGCCATGGGGGGTACCTGAAGCCCTCGGGAAAGTATTTGGGTAGTTTTTGAAGGGGATTTCAGCCATGGGGGAATCTGAAGCCATCGGGAAGGTATTTAGGTAGTTTTTGAAGGGGATTTCAGCCATGGGGGTACCTGAAGCCCTCGGGAAGGTATTTGGGTAGTTTTTGATGGGGATTTCGGCTATGGGGGGTATCTGAAGCCATCAGGAAGGTATTTAGATAGTTTTTGAAGGGGATTTCGGCTATGGGGGTGTAGAATATGGAGGGTAGCCCGAAGGCCAGTCGATTACAGTCGCGAAGCGGCTGTAATCGGCTGGTAATGAATGAATTTCACACATAAAAAGACATGCGTTTAGTGCTTGGAATTTTCCCTCGCCATGCCAAAAATCAAAGATCAGATCGAAAGACGGCCTGACGGTCGAGAAAACGGTCATCCAGAGACCGAACACAATTTTCTCCTTTACGGGAGGAGATTTTTCTCAACGTCAAAGGCTCGGCTGGACGGTCGGTTGGAACGAGATAAAAACGAAAATCAAGGAAATGAGGGCTGGGCCTTTTTGCGATTTTGTGTTCTCGGCCAGTTCAGCCAGTTCTGCCGTTTTTTGACGCCGAGCTTTCCTATCCATTTTCGGTATCTCTCGGTCACTGTCCTATCTCTAAAAAGCTTCCGACTGACTGCTGGAAAACGAGACGGAAAGTCCTACAATCCTCAAAATAATGTGGCTCCCCGCGGTCATCCTCCTCGCTTCTGCTGCTCCCTTCATTTTCGGTAACCACTTCGTCATCCGGTATTCGTAATTTTAAGACGAATAAAATTAGAATAGCTAAAATTATGTATTCCAGCGGGCTCGGAATGGGACGGCTACGTAAGTGGCACTTTGCTGGGCAGCGGTAACATCGCGAAAGCAGCAATCTGCGGCTTGGACGGAGTCATCTGGGCCAAGAGCGACAATTTTAACGTAAGAGCTTTATATACCTATTACCAAATTTGTTTTTATCATTTATAAATACGTTGGGACGCCCTTAACCTAGTATTTAGTAGCCTAATACCTCTAAATTCATTTCCATGCAGATTGGCGCAGATGAGGTGGCTGCAATTGCCGAAGCTTTTGGCAACCAGCCCAGCTCTCTGAAATTCGAAGGCAAAGCATACATGATTCTGCGAGTGGGTTCCAGAATTTAATTTTAAAAGTCGTACCTGCAGAATTTTTTATTTACATTTTTTATCAAATTATTTAATTTATTAACCTCCTTTCTAGGCCAACGCTGAGCAAATTCAGGGAAGAGAGGGCTCTGGCGGATTCGTTGCCTGTAAAACCAATAAAGGTAGGACAAATTCTTCAACTTAAGCAAGGTTGATTTTCTTAGTTTTGAAAGCCAGCACTACACTATAGAAGTCATTTTCCAAATCTTTTTTTAAAAGCCCTTTTCCCAGTAGCCTCTAAAATTGTATGCATTCAGCCGTGATCATCTCCCTCTACACGAACGCCATGAGTCCGGAACGTTGCGCGGAAGTAACGCAAAATTTCGCCGACTTCCTCAAGAGCTCCAACTATTAAATGACACCTCCAAGCCAATACTTTTGAAATGCTTTCGGGACTTCCTTTATTTTATAAAAGTAGTGCCTGTGTATATGTGCCGGCATTTCCGAGACGTTGTTCCGCACCCAGAGGCTCAGGATTGCCCTTTTGGGTCGGGAAGTAAACCTATTAGGGGTGGAATGGGCCAGAATGCCGACAGACAGAATTCTTAAAAAAATACCACTTTTGCTATTAAAATCAGGGTGATGTAAAATCTCTCACCACCCTCTTTGTTGGGGAGCAATTAGCATACAGCAGTAGCGGGAGCAGAAGGCGTTTCTAAAATTTTCTCTCGTCATAATTTAGGAAGAACGATGAAAATTGAAGATTTTTATAAGGACGGGCGGGAAGCGGGGCCAGCTTCGAGAGACACGAAGCGGTTTCTCAACCCTGTGTGATGTCAAAAAATCGTTGGAACTGGCAGAAATTTTCTTAGATAATTTGCTAGACGGTCAAGGATCGGCTGGACAGCCAAGCGGAACAAGATAAAAATGAAAATGAAGGAAATGGAGGTTGACTGCTCTTTTCCGTTCTCTTCTTTCTTTTCGGGTTTTCCAGCCCAACCAACGATGTCCTGAGGAACCTTTCTCCTGAGACCGCGCCGTTCCTAACCTCCTACTCCCTATCCATTTTGGCATCTCTCGCACACGGTTATCTATATAAACCACCGGTTCACTGCTAGAAAATCATTCGTGAAAGACGGTAACCATCGAAATGATGAGAATCCTGTTGCTCGTCCTCCTGACGACGGCCGTCGCTTTCGGTAAGTCGTATAGGTTGCCTATTTCTTTCGTCATCCTCGTAAATTCATTGCATAATCTATTCTGTCGAGCGTTTCATATCGTTTTTGAAGTTGTTCTTCGCGTAAAAATGTCATCGGAATCCCACACTCTCGATTCTCCAAACGAATTTTATTTTAAAATTTTAATTTTAAAACACTGGCAAAACTAATTTCTTCTAGCGATGGATTGGCGCAGCTACATTGACGATCAATTGGTGGGCAGCGGTAGCGTCACCAAAGCAGCGATCGTGGGCCTCGATGGCGCCATCTGGGCGAAGAGCGACCACTTTAATGTATGGTTACTTGATGCTTAATACAATATAACGTCTAGTTGCGTACGCAAAGCCCTCAAATTGATTTTTACAGATTGGCGATGACGAGGCGGCGGCGGCCGCCCAGGGATTCGTCAACTCGGAAACGCTGTACGCTAGCGGGCTGAAATTCGAAGGCATCAAATACATGATTATCAAGGTGCATACCAAAACTTAGGCTGCATGTAACTCTTTTCATGGAGAAGTTCCTTGAACGATTCCAGGCTGATCATGAACAGATTTTTGGCAAAAAGGGAACCGGCGGGTTTGCGGCTTCCAAAACGAAGAAAGGTAGGCGAAATTCGAAAAGTTTTTTGATGGTTTTTTAACATTTTGGAAAACACGTTTATCAGGGATATCTCGAATTTCAGCCGTGATCATCTCCATCTACGATGGAACAATCCAGCCTGGAAACTGCGCACTCACGACACAAAGATTGGCCGACTACCTCATCGAAAACGACTATTAGATCCCTATCCCTTTAGTATTACTTACTATCAAAATAAAGATCCTTCATAATCAGCATTATTGTGATAACAAGGAATTTCCGGTTGGCATTTAGACTGAAAAGTACTACTTTGCGTCCAATAAACTTTCGAGCAATGGTAAAACGGGGTTGCGCACGGCGGGGAGTCGAACCCGCGACCTCCTGTTTTCCGTACAGGTGCTCTTCCGCTGAGCTACACGCGTCCCGAATCACCATCGCTCGAGGCCGAGGATGAGGGAAAGGATGGGCTGATTCATGCCATGGCACTCAGCCGTTTCCGGGGCTTTTCCCCTCTCTTGCGAATCCTTTACAGTCCATATCTTTTTTCGAGATCATACTCAGCCTATGAACACGTATTCGAGAAATTATATGAAATTGATTACTATTTTTCCCGATGCGCTCCTTAAAATTTGATACAATCCTAGTTTTTTTTTTGGGGTTAATTTTTATAACCTTTTGTGCCCAATAATTGATAGTGGGCCAAGCTGGTCTCTTACTGTTAAATTCTATTACTAACTAATTTCCGTAAAAAGGTTCATCAAGCAGAAATCGAGGTGATGAGTCATCCCCCACTTCAGATACCTATTTCATGCCCCTTACAACACGATGATGATCATTCCCCATTTCGTCATCGATTAGTCAGTGATGAGCGGCCTTTCCCGGCAGGCCCTTAGGGCCCTTTGGCCATTACAGCGTATTTCGAACGGAGGGTCTCCTGCTCCTCTTGGTTGAGAAGGGGGGGGAGGCCCCCGCACCACACAGCTGCTGCTCCTCGCCTACTCTGCTGTCTTTTTCGCTTTAGTCGATGCGGAGCCCCTCCCGATAGAAAACAACTATTACACGGATAGCCGCCAGGCTTTGTTTATCCATATTTTTCCAACATTTGTTAGCGATTTTAAATATCTTCTAAATTTTTGTGATATTTAGAGTCGCAATTTTTCGAGTCTTATCTTGCTTTTGCTTTTAAATTCGTCGTGTTGTAAAAGCCTATACAAGTGCAAAAATCCCTGTATAAGATACACCTATCATCTTTCAAGATCCAAAAATATACCTTTTAAAAGAACGAGCAAGGCAGGCTTCTATGGATTTTTAATTGTAGCTTCCCTATCGATTTTGGCGTGCCCGCGATACGCAACGTACGTGCCGATTAACAGGGGTGCAAGCCATTACGCAATGAAAAGGCAGGCGCCGTTGCGCATCACGGCGCGTCCCATTAAAGGGAGCGTGACAATGAGTCGCAACAGCTTCAAAGATTTTAGACGTTTGTGGGGCACTTTTCTCTTGACCAGGGACGCTTATGCTGTGTAAACTTGCTTTTTAAATAAATCCAGACTCGACCGGCTTGGGTTCAGGCTTGGCTTAGCTTCGTCTTAGCATAGGCTTAGCTTGGGCTTAGCTTAGGCTTAGCTTAGCCTTGGTTTAGGCTTATCTCAGGCTTCAGGCTTAGCTAACAATATCTTGATTATTTCGTCGAAGCTCATCTCGCCTCTTACGCTCTCCGCAACATCCCAAGAGCACAAAATACCCCAAAACGTGCTGTGAGCCCGCACCTCGTCACATAGCCCGCAGACAAACCAATACTATTTACAAGCTCTTCCCCCGTCGCTCTCTCTCTCTCTCTCCGGGATTAGGTGCAAAACGGAGCTCTCGAGAGCTCTGGGACTGTTGCCCCACACAGAAATGCCCCCGTTCCCCTAGACCACACCACCAGGCGATTATTTGCCCTCCCAACATTCAGCCGTTTCTCCCTCGGCTTCTTCACTGCCACCAGGGCCAGAGTCACACTAAATGTTGCCCTTTCAACTTTTTCCCATGGCCCTCTAATCCCGGCGGGACCCAGATATCGATCGATCAGCCGGGGCCCGAGAGTAAACTCTTCGCGGATGCCATTGGGATCTGGAGGATTGATCTGCCATGAACCGAGCGACGAGGATCTTTTTATGACGTTAAATAATTTATTTTTGCTCTTTTAAAATGATTAACAATTTAATATTATCTATTAATGCGTGTGAGAGCTTCAAAAAATTTTGTAGCATTTTAGCATCAACCATATCTTACTTTATCACTTGTAAGGCGTTGCTTACTGAATTTTGAAACATTCTCGACTACGTTATTGGCCTATTGTTCCTTATTCGGACGATATACTCGTTTTTATACGGTTTCTACCTATATTTTACCTAGATTTTTTATCCCGCCACCTGCTTTCAAAGTTAAAACCCTTTTCCCCTTAATTATCTGCAATTTTTATCGACTGAAAGCTTTCAAAATACGAAATTACACACATTTTTAGAAAATATGTCGTGGGCCGAGTACGTGAACACATCGTTGGTCGGTACGGGTGCCGTTTCGAAAGCAGCAATCTGCGGCTTCGACGGTTCCGTCTGGGGCAAGAGCGACAATTTTAACGTAAGAATATTTAATGGATGAACCTGATTACCTCACAACTACAAAAAAGCTTTTGCTCGTTTTCTTGCTTCGATAAAATCATTTTTACAGATCGGCGCCGAGGAGGCAGCAGCAGCCGCCCGTGGCTTTGCCAACAAGGACGCCCTCCTCGGCACTGGCCTGAAATTCGAAGGCCAAAAATATGTGATCCTCCAGGTGGGGCATCGGAAATTAAAATACAGCCGTTAAATTATATAGGATATTTAACGTTGCGAAAATTATAATTATTATAGGTCGACGATGAGCGAATTATCGGCAAGAAGGGAACAAACGGATTTTTCGTCTACAAAACCAACCAGGGTAAGTCAAAGATTAAAGCCGGCATTTAAACGAGTTCAACAACGCTCTCTAAATAGTTTTTTAAGTGTTGATTTTCATATAAAACTATGAAAAACTTTAAAAACTAATGAGCTACAAAGATGTGGCGAAATCCAACGATGTAAAATCGCCATTTACGACCACTTTAATTCAAGAACACAGTTGGAATTCATTTGAAAAGGTTTAGAGATATTCTCTCGACTTTTTTTATACTTTTTAGGATCAAATTTCTTAGCCCATGCTCCAATTTCAGCCGTGATCATCTCGATCTACGAGGACGGCGTGCAGCCGGAAGCCTGCTCGCAGGCAACGGGAAAGCTAGCCGACTACCTCAAGCAGAATAACTATTAAATTTATGCCGAAATCACCCCCAAAAAAGCTTCTAGTCATTTCCAAATTAGCCCCCATCTTTCGCCGCGCCCTTCTCGATCTGCTCAATCGCCCCGTCGTGTACCCTGCCTGTAAGTACGAATCACTACATTAACCCAACGCCCCCAAACAAGCACTTTTTGCCAAAAAAACACACACACACAGCCGCCACTGGTGAAATTGCCCTCTCAAAAGGGTGCATCATTTTGCCCTTTCCAAAAAAAATCACACAAAACCTGACAAGCTGGTGCCTAACACGGATGCCCACGGAAAAAGTTTCCAAATTTTTTCGATAAGCCCCCTCCTCACGCCGATTCCCCCTTTTTGCATTTTTTCTTCGTTTCGATTCGTGTGATCTGAGACTCGTATTTAATAAAACATTTTCTTCTTTTATTGCTGGCTCGCTGGAGCACCGGTCAAAAGCGAATTTGTGCAACGGAACCGTCATGGAATCGGGGGTGATAGAGATCTTATACAGGGGAAATGGGCAATGTAGTGGGTTTGATAACATGGAACAAAGATAAACACATGGTTTTATTATAAAAATGGGGCTATATAAAATAAGGCAACTTTCAAATGGCTTTCAGACTAAATTCGAGCAGCGTTTCAAGGGCACGTGGAGCATCACAAAATGGCTGAGGTAGTTGGGGGCAAGACATAGAAAACACATATAAAAACAAAAAACTTATTCCCCGTCGCCGATCGGCTTGTCGAGGAATGTCCAAACGTTTTCTTCGTAGAGCGCGTCGAGCGTCAACTGCGAGCCGGGCGTCAGGTGCGGGATCTCGAGGTCGTCGAGGCTGATCGAACCGGGCGTCATGTGCGGGTTCGGCATCCCGTTGTCGAGAAGCGTCTGAAAAGGGGAATTAGGTTTTTGAAAGAAACGGGGGCGAACTTCCTTTGTACAAGCGTAGTAATTTAATAGCCACTGTTTTAATAGTCTTGTTAGCAAAATTGAACAGTAGTTTAACTCGAAAAACTATCTAAAACTTCAAAAAATTTTTGAAAAGTTGAAACTAGCCAAAAATCTGTCATTTCTGGGCGAAAAATGCCTAGTAAATTAATAGGAACTGTTTTAATCGTGTATTTAGCAAAAATTCACGTTATCTCAACACGAAAAACTATCTAAAAATTTCCAATTGTTTTTGAAAAGGCCGAAAGTTTAGTCAAAAGTCGGCCATTCCTGGGCGAAAAATCGCTAGTTTTCTATCATCATTTTAATCGAAATTTGTAGAGTTTTCACGCTCAGGAAAATTAAACAACCGTTTAGAAAGCTTTTTATAATTTGTATTTAAAAATTGGCTTCTAAGAAAAAAGCTCCCCCCTCGATTATGCGAAAGAACCGACCTTCAGAGGGGAATTTAGATAGCTGCTGTAGCCGTCTGGGGAGAACAGCTTCGATGGGGTGATGACGGGCAGAGAGGCGAATGGCGTTCGAATGTCCGATGGCGGCGGCATCACCACCTCGTCCAGGCCGGCCGTTGAAGTTGATGGTTCGTCAACTCCCATCGCCGAGGTCGACGGGATAGCATCCTAAGAAATCATTACTTTAAATTCAATTACAAAGAACCAACCATCGTCGATTTGACAGTGTAATGGTTCTTGTAGCCAAGGTCGGAGAACATCGGGTTGATTGTATTATCCACCTCCCCGTCTAGAGATTGACTGTTTCTGTTGGGACGAGCCGGGTATTGTGGGACCGCAAAGACTAAAATCGGAGTCGTAAACAAAAAAAACAAAAGCTACGAACCGTCGTCAGGGTGATCCACATTCGGCTTGATCTCCGGCTGCTCCTCCGCCGGAAAGACGGGCTCGGTTGAGGTTGATGGCGCGTACATTTCCTTCAACGTCAAAGCACTGCCACCCTCACTTGTCACGTAATAGGTGTTCGGCGGATAACGGGCCAACTAAAACCAGGGAAATTAGCTTTATTTAATTTTCTACCTGGTGCGTCAAACGATCCCCTTTTCCCCCATTCACCACGAACATCACTTCACCGGGCGGCAAGAAGCTAGCGATTTCCTGGTTCGTGAAGTAGCTAAAAATTGATAAATTTCGTTTAAAAATCAGCAATAGATACCAGTAATTTTTCGACACTGGGTTCTCCTTGGTCAACTTTAGCGTCGAGGTGAGCGATCGCACCACGTCGTCCAGATAGTTTGCCTCGTTGATCAGCTCTTGGCGATACTGTTCCATTTGCTTTTTCTAAAACACCGTAAAAATCATGAAAATGGCAGGCAACCTTTTCCATGCTATCCCGAACCTCCTCTTCACCTTTCATCAACTCGCGCATCATTGCTGGGTTCCTAAAGACATGCATAATAAGAAATTACCAAATTAAAGCCACCACAAATACCACTAAAACTTACGTCAGGGAAATCTCGTTCTTCCCAGCCTTTGTGATCATATCGACGCCGTCGAGCACGTTGGTAATGTCGTAGAGTCGCCGTTTTGGCACACCCAAGTAATCGCACGCATCGTTGAGGTTTACTTTCTGAAAAAAAAAACAGATTAAAAGGGTTAAAGATAAATCAATAAGCGTCGAAAGCATCCCGGAGACAAAATGCTACCTCATTATTGCAGAGCAACTCCAGGAACTTGTTGGTCAGCACGAGCAGCGAGCTTTCAGCGCGGCTTCCCTTCGGGCTATCTAAAAGCATAAAAGTAAAACCTTTAAAGGGATAGGGGCGGCATACGTCAATCGGTTACGCGCTGGAAAGAAAATGTCTCTGCGCCTCTCCTGGGCGCCCTCTGCCCTGTTGGCTCGCCAATTTGTTGTGGGGGATCGACCTGCCGTCGGCAGCCCTTTAAAAAACTACAAGTTACCTCCACCCTCGCCATCCCATAGTTCTTCTCGAAGTCCTTGAAGTGAAGGCGTTCCTGAAAGACGTTATTTAGCTCATAAAAACTTCAAATAAACTAAAAATACAAAATCTAACCCCCGGGCGCTGACCAAAAACGGAACATTCGATTTTAGAAGTAAAAAACTTACCTTCAGCTTGGTCAAGCGCGGCGGCAATTCGGTCCTCGGTCGCCTTCTCCAAAAGCGAGGGATTTTCGTGATAAAGGCGTTTCAATACCGCGCCAACCGGCAGGTTCTCTGGATCTGGGGTTCCGCCCGCATGCGTTTCTTTCGGCTTCTTTAGCGGCGGTTCCTCGGCGTGTTCGATCCCGCGAAAAATCACTTCTTCTTGATCCGCTGCAACTTGTGTAGGTTCCGTCTTCCGCACCGAAGTAGGCCGAATCCTCGCCACAGGCCGGCTCGTTGCTGAAGGAACGTCCCTGGGCGGAATTTGGTAATCATCGCCTAAATTTTCAGCTGGAGCCAGAGTTTGTTTCCGCTTGAGCACACGATACTTTGGTCGTTCCACCACTTGATTGGGAGGCTGGCGACGCACTGGGTAGAGCCGGGGCTGAAGTTCTGCTTTTAGCCGCGCTTTCGCGGCTTCCGGGGCTTGATTTTCTTGGAAGCCCTCATAATCCAGTTGACCTTGAGAGATAACGCGCTGGATTGAAGATTGGTAGCTGGACTCCGGGAAATCTTCGGCTTGCTCGCGGAGCTTGACTGACGTTGGGGGTTCGGCGGCTTTTTGCGAGGGGTAGGCTTTGAACGGGTCTTCTGCAGGGGCGCGCTTTGCGGGCCGCGGTTTTGCGCGCGGCTTTGATGGTCCAGAGGTGGAAGCGTTTTGAGGTTGCGTTTTTGCGGGCCGGCGTTGCGTCACATGGATCGCTTTTTGTTCGGGCACAACAAATCCCTGATAATACTGATGGTCCGAAGCGATAGCCTGCTGAATAAATGGCTGCGCGTAAAAATCGGCTTCATTGTGGCCCATTCCTTGGTCCACTTGCATAGGCCGCGTCGAAATGACTGGGGAAGGCGTGGCAATCATCGGCTCAGAAATATCACCGGTGTGAACGTTCATCACCAGCGCCTCGGGCTGGTATTCCGTTTCCGGAACGCCGTACGTGTAGTAATTCTCAACGGGATATGTATCGGAATAAACCTGATCTTGACAGCCGGGGGTCGCGTCATATTCGTAGAGCGCGGACGCGGTGACTCCTCGATTTTCCGGGGACAGCAGGTGCATCATCTCCATGGCGTCCTTAGTAATTTCCGCTTCCACGCGGGGGTCGACGAGAAAGTGATCGTTGGATCGCAGCGTGTAATTGCACTCCATATGGCAGATTGTCGTGGGGGATAATTGAATTTCGGGCAGATGTCGCTTTTCGGGCTCTTCAGGTGATTTTGCACGAATGGAGATGCCCTCTGGGTATGGAGGATTCGGCGAGGACTACGAGTTGATACGGCAGCGTGGGTGGTGCGCACATTAATGATATATTTCTCGGCTTGGTTAGAAAAGCAAACTTTTTTAACTAGCTTCCGTCTCAAATTCATGATTCTATTTTTATGTCAGCGCCCAAGAGCAAGTTTGTAAAAGAACAAACAGGAATCGCGACTTACGTTGCAGAGCTTCGGCAATTGTTCGTTTTCGTGCGTCTGAAATTGAGTATTTAGTAAAAAAAACTGTTTAACAAAAGAGTTTTTGATATAAAAAAAGATAATTGCTTTGGCTTTCCGTTTTTGATAATAATACTTACAAGAGGGTGTCGCCAACGCCTCGTCAAGCCTTCTGCGCGCTTTCTCCTTCTCCGAGCTGCTCTCAACGGACCGGGGCTCCAGTTTGATCGGGGTTCGGGTACCGAGATCTCGGGCTACCTAGAATAATCTTTTTACTACTTTCTCTGTAATATCAAACCTGGCGATACAGAAACGTCTCCGGAAGCGGTTCTTGCCCATCGGGAGATCGTGAGGAAGAGCTGGATTCGTCGTACTAAAAATATATACATTAGGCCCGGTATTTACTAATTTCGAAAACTAAAGACTTTGCAAAATAGCTAAAAAATAGGGAGTGATTCTCCTCTTTGCGGTGGACACGTTGGGGTACCTAATAGGGCGCCCTTGCCCAGGTATCGATCAGATCGCGTCCTTATGAGGGTAAGAAAATAGGGTCGGCCTCGCGTGCTGACCATGAAAAACTTATGAGGCTAGAAGAAGATTGGAGAATAAACTTGGAGTTTAGCGAGAAGAACTGGCATTTTTTCAGTCAATTAAGTTGAAAATTTGAAGTTTTACAAAATTTTACTCACCTGCGAAGACACCCATTGTGGATTGTTCAGGAATTGGCCAATAGCTTGATTCAGTAGATAAGGATTTCTAGAACCGTTTTTCCAAAAATTTTGCTATTCTTTAACTTACTCATTGATATTCAACTCGCCCTGCGCGTACTTCATCGGGTCGGGTTGTTGGGGCTGCAAAGGAAATTATTTTTTTAATTAATGGCTAGATAATTTTTAATCCTGAGAAACGGGTTGATGCTCTTTAAATTCTGGAAGCTTCGTTTAGAAAAGTGCCAAATTACACGCAATATACTGATTACGAGGTTTAAAAAGCGATAAATCAACTAGGAAATAGAGAAAAAATTTTAAACAAAATTTCAGACAATTTTTAACGTTCGCCGGCTGGACAGGAGCTGCTTTTATTTAACTTTTAAATGGCTAAGGATTTTTTTAGAGGTTTTGCTAATTATTTTTCGGCTAATTAAGGCAAAAACTAATTTAAAAATCTTAAATTGATAAAACCAAGCATGAGAATCGAGGAAAACGATAAAAACAACCGAAAGAAAGAGCCGTTTTAGAAAATTCACCACAATCCCGTTGCGCGCCTTCAAAAACGGGCGTCGCTTGTGGTGGGTGGTGTAGAGCGAGTGGGACTCCGTGGGTTGCATCTGGTTACATGGAGCGGCACACCGGGCTGTGTTGGTTCGTTTGGAGGTTGGGTGCTGCCTGCCTTCGTTCGTGTGTCCTATGAAGGGTTGCCTGGTGTCCTGCTGGCTTGCCTTCCGCGGGGACGGTCGGTGGCTCCGTGGCTATCTCTCTGTCTCTGTTAGTCTGTGTTTTTCCGTTTCTCTCTCTGTCCATCTTCTCCACGCCCAACCCATCTTTGTTCGCGACGATTTCCCGCCAAAAACGCTTGCCTTGCAAGAACAGGGCAGGGAGGGAGACTCCGCCTCCATATGGGTTGACTCGATCGGTGGCAAGGTGTCATTTAGCCCCATTCCTCAGTCAATTCCAGAGCATCCACTATCGGGGCGAGAGGGCGCTTTTTAGGATGCCGTTCTTGCTCAGACGGTAGAGAAATTACGGGATGATGCTAAGCTCCATTTTGTCGCAAAAAAGCCCAAAATTGGCCGGTTTTGCCCGGAAAATTAATTGTTAACTTCGCAACCACGGTAATTTGGAAAATTCTGAAGGTATATTCGCAATCGGCGCAAAATTGTGGATAGACCTGTTTCCACCACAAAAATTGCAAAAAAGTGTCTTGATCAGCCGTTTCTAGACTCATCAAGACACTTTTATGCAATTTTTTACAAAATTTGACCTCGGTTTTGTTTTTGTTGTTAACACGAGAGACTGCAAAATGTAAAAATTAAGGATAGCTGGCCCACAAGCTGTGAATTTGGACATTTTAGCACCAATTTATTCACGTCGAGCACCACAAAAAACTGCCAATATGCACCCGATTTCTCGCGAACCAAGCTATTGTAGCCGATACGTAAGATAGAATGGCTACAGCCCCATGCGTCCCACCACCAGCTTCACTAGGCTCCTCGGCGTCCTCGAAATAAATCTAAACGGGTTCAATAAGCCTTTTTAGCTCCTAAACGCACATCTTCGATGGGAATTTCGATTTCTATAGTAGTATCCACAGGTGCAGAACGTAGTGGTGAAGGAGCTTTTTGGTAGTAGCCATCAAAAACGAGTCCAAATTGCCTAGATAGCTAAAAACGGGCTTAAAATGCCTCAAAAAGCGTAAGCTACCCCATTAATACATTCAATTTTGTGACACAAACACTCGTCATAAGAAGCTATCGGAAAAACACATTCCCGATATCGGTCCCATCTGGAATTTCTTATATTTTTGGCAGTGTTTTGTGCAGAACCTCTCATTAACACAATCTAGCTTCAGAATTTGCTTCTTCTCATCGTAGTCGACTTCGCACTAAACTATTTGTGCGGAAACAAAGTGACAACAAACCACATCCCAATCGTTCGCCCTTTCAAATTGCCATTTTTTGACGATTTGTAATGAAGTAATAGCCGGGATAATAACGAGGATTAAGAAATAGCGAAACATTTTGCTTGCAATGGTTCCAGGCGATGCACAGACGGATGGCAAGCGTTATCGCGTTTTTCGGTCTGCCTGAATAAGCCAACCCCTGCCGTACTTCGTGCAATTTTCCAAGTAAACACCCCGCAAAAACCAGCATCATGCTATGAGCAAACTTTTATTTACAAGTTACTAGATAAACCCTTGACGGTAGAGGCAAAGAATTACAAGCGACAGGTTCAACTCAAGCCTCGCAGATTCTTGTAGAACTTTTATGAGCTAAAACGTCATCACACACATAGAAAATCTTTAATTCTGCGGGGGCCAGGGCGGGGGTCCTAGTAGAAATGGCGCGAGGAGAAATGTTCTCAGAGACAAGCTACACCTAACACGGCGAGTAACAATCGCCGGGCGATACCCATTTGGGGGAAACGAAAAGAGGAACTTATAAAACAGTTTTTTCGAGAGGTGACAAGGAGAGCTTTTCGCCTTCATGAAGTTTGTTTAAAATAATGCGCAACAATAGTTTCGTGACTTCAGGAAGGCAAAAAATGTACACGCTAAGAGGGGTGACTATCTAAGATCCGGCTTTTTGGGGGCCTTAGTAATTTCCGGAGAGGATCTTGCTGTCCTCCGGCTTGAACCCCTTCTCGGCCATGAACTGCTCGTGGTAGTCCTTCATGCGACGCTCCAGCTCGGGGCGGAAGTGACGGATCAGACCCTGAAAAAAGGAATTGACAGTGAATCACAATTAAAAGGACAAATTTGCATCGTTACCATCGAAAAACTAGTTACCTGAACCGGCCAGGCTGCAGCGTCACCAAGAGCGCAAATCGTGTGGCCTTCGATCTGTTTCGACAGCTCCCAAATCATGTCGATCTCGGAGGGCTTGGCCTTGCCGTCAACGAAACGCCACATCATCTGAAAAATAACTCAATAAAAAAAACATAATATCGAAGTTTCATAAATCTCAAAAACGGACCTTGTTCAACCACGAGCAACCCTCACGGCACGGGGTGCATTGTCCGCAGCTTTCGTGCTTGTAGAAGAGGGACAGCCGGGCGATGCATTTGACGACATCGGCCTGAAAATGTATCTAAAAACGGCGAAATAGATAGCAATACCTGTTTGTTCATCACGATGACGGCAGCAGTGCCGAGACCGGATTGCACAGCAACGAGAGCATCGAAGTCCATGAGGACGGTGTCGCAGATGCTCCTAAAAAAATAAACTCTAAGAATAATAGCGTTTTTACCTTGGCAAAAGTGGTACGGAAGACCCGCCGGGGATGATGGCCAGTAGGTTATCCCAGCCGCCAATGACGCCGCCACAATGTCGTTCGATCAGGTCTAATAAAATAAATAAAAATTATTCTAAAATTCACCTTTAAGCGGCACGCTCATTTCCTCCTCCACGGTGCACGGGTTGTTGACGTGGCCCGAGATGCAGAAAAGTTTAGTTCCACGATTTCGTTCGCGCCCGAACGACGCAAACCAATTGCCACCACGTCGGCAAATCGTCGGCGCGACGGCGACGGTTTCGACGTTAGTTACCTGGAATAATACGTTATACGTTTTTGCAGCTAAAACCACACCGTTGTCGGGCATCCGAAAAGTCCAATATCAGCGGGGAACGGCGGCTTCAGACGGGGCTTTCCTTGTTTGCCCTCCAGCGACTCGATCAGGGCCTAAAACCGTGAAAATTAAAAAAAAAGCGATTGCTTACCGTTTCCTCTCCACAGATGTACGCGCCGGCACCGCGATGCACAAAGACGTCAAAGCTGTATCCGGTGCCCAGGCAGTCCTTGCCAAGGTATCCGGCCTGGTATGCTTCGTGGATGGCCTCTTGCAGGATGGCGGCTTCGTTGTAGAACTCGCCGCGGATGTAGATGTAGGCAGCACGGGCTCCCATGGCCACTCCACCGATGAGGCAACTGAAACGGCAATATGAAATAGAGATAAAAGCAAACACAAAAGTTATAAGCCATAAACCAGCTCTTACCCCTCGATGAGCTTGTGCGGGTCGTGGCGCATAATCTCGCGATCCTTGCAGGTGCCAGGCTCGCCCTCGTCAGCATTGACGACCAGATATTTCGGTCTAGAAAAAACTAACATAGAAAACAAGACAATGTCTAACCTTCCATCGAACGGCTTGTTCATGAAACCCCATTTCATCCCCGACGGGAAACCGGCGCCTCCACGTCCGCGCAGGCCAGAGGTGGAAAGCTCCTTGAGGATCCATTCAGAGCCCTTCAGCATAATCTCCTTCGTCTTGTACCAGTCACCCTAGAAAGGCGTAATTATGGGAATAAAGAAAAGTAGACGAGTAATAATTGTACAGGAAAAAAGTGCAAAACTCACTCGAGCCATCGCTCCCTTGATTCGATAGTCGTGGCGGCCATAGAGGTTGGTGAAGATGCGATCCGAATCCTTCAAGTTGCCGAAGCTCGTCTTCTCCGGCTTCTTCTCCTGCGCTGGTGGGGCCCCGGTGGCGATGGAGCGGGCTAGCAGGCTGGAGCCTAGAAATGAAAACCATAAATAAGCAATGGTTTTTCAGTAAATAATAAGGCAAAATGATAGCATATAACCCACCGCTCTTCTGGAAAAGGCGGCCCCCAAGTTGGGCAAGCGCTGGGGCCATATACCTGAAAAAGACAACGTTGAATACTAAAAAAGTTATAGGTTTTGAAAGGGTTTAGAAGTTTTTAGAAGACGGGTTTCACTTCCCGACGAGTGCGGAACAAACTACATCGTGTACAGGCCGGCGTGGCGGGACCCGTGTCAAAAAGCGAAAAAGGGTAAAAAAACGTCTCAAATGTAGGTTAACTGCGTTTTTAAACGTAATTGAGTAAAACTTCATATTGAATATATCATTTATTCGGTCGAACAAGCAAAATGTGAAAATATTTGAGCAAGTTACAATGGTAGAGGCAATATCCCCGAGATCGTGAGCACTGGAAAGTGAAAAGTGACAAAGTATATCGATATTCAAAGCAAACGAAAAATGATAGTTATTATCGAGATCGAGAATACAAAAAAAAAACAAGAGAAAAATGTCAATCATAAAATTTAGATCGGCTTGCTGAGGATCACGTAGTCGACCTCGTCCTCCTCCTGTCGGTACATCTCATCCGTCACGTAGCCGTGCTTGTGGAAAAAGTCCAAGCTCTTCGTGTTGTGCTTGAAAACGGTGGCCATTACGTAGAGCATATCCGTCTTGCGCGCCACCTCTTCCAACGCCTTGATGAAGTGGGTCCCGGCGCCGAGCCCTTGGAAAGTGGGCTCGATTTGCAGTTCGTAGCAATAGACGACCCGGCGTCCTTGGTCCAAATCAAAGCGATAGTGCACATATCCGAGGGGTTGTCCCTTTTGATCTCTGGCGATGATGAATCGGGCGGTGGTGGCTGTCAGCTCTTGCTTTTTGCTGACTTCATCGTAGCCCCATTCCGATTGTTCATAAAGTTTCCGCATGTTTCGCCGGAATAGATCGAAAATCCACTCATGATCCGCGTCAGAGATCGCCGTTGCCCATGCTGTTTCGAACGTGATCGTCGAGCCGGAGGTTAGGTGCTGCTTTTCGGTCGGGGGCAAGCAGTTTAGGGCTTGAACTGGGTCCTTCATTTTTCTCGCCTTCTTGACGGCGCGGCTATCTGCGTCGGCGGGTGCCATTTTGGATCGGAGGGCTACCTGGAAAAATGTAGTATAAACGAGGCCGAATTGTTGAAAGAACATACTTAAAAAGTAAAGTGTTTAAAGAGTATGAATTGATAAGAGGAAATTTTTTTTTGTAGCCAAGGAAACGAAAATTAACGCCGTTTGTTTCGTCACGCTTTACGGAATCGTAAAATACGTTAAAAAGCGTAAAATATCTTTAAAATGAGACAATAAAAGAGGTATAAACGCTTGAAAGGTTGGTCTTGGTTTCCCGCCACTGTTGAGGTGGGAGAGAGACCGAGGCAGCCGTTCCTTTCGGGACCACGGGGCAGAGAGTGGGGGAAGAGGAGAGGGCGAAAAGCTGCGAGGTTGACAACGAAAAAAGCAAAAGAGTAAGAGGAAGGCTACTGTAGGTCAGAATGCAAAGCCCGATGGTAAAGGAAATGCATCTAAAATAAATTGTGAAAGTTTTAGAAAAGGAAAAAATTACCAGACTGTTGGCCGTAGACCTTTTGCGACTGTTTGGACTTTTTTTTGGGGGGTGCCGGATTCGGGGGTGGCAGAGCCATTTTTATAGCGTTTTGTAAGGGCTCTAGATATAAAAGCGCATTAGAGCTTTCAAAATATTGGAGATTTTCGGCTTTTTGGTTAAAAATTTACGGAAAAGGAAAACCTCTCAACTGGTAAAAGAAGAAATAAAATTCACAGCACAGTACCGGAAAAATGACCGTACTTTGCCTGACCTGTCACCGGTCGGCCCTTAGTTAAAGGGATAGGGACGGCATAATGCAATCGATTACGCGCGGGAAAGAAAATGTCTCTGCGCCTCCCCTGGGCGGCTCTCCTGTTGGCTCCAATTTGTTGATGGGGGATCGCCATGCCGTCGGCAGCCCTTTAAGGGGAGTCACCAAAAAAATTGTCGGCGGCCCTAGATTTCGATAAATTTATCGGAGACATGTAGATAAAGAAAAGTCTCTCTCCCTCTCTCTCTCTCTCTCTCTCTCTCTCTCTCTCTCTCCCCATATCTCTCGCCTTTTAGCTTAAAAATACCGCTCCCTCGGGTCTGATGTAAAGTGGGTGGGGCCCTAGACAACCTGACTCCGACCCTTTAACGTTCTGAAACCCACGCGGAGAAGCCGTCAAAGAAGAAGGTAAAAAGAAGAAGCTTTTACAGGCATGCGTCTGGGGCGGTGTGCAAGCACCAACTTTCAAAACGAGTCAGGGGTCCACCCCGGGTGTGGGTGGGAGGAAGAGGAGCAGGAGAGGGCGGAGGAGGATGAGTAGCCGACTGAAAAGCCGAGGGCCCACTTGACATGGGCCTCCGAACCGGGTCTTCGGGCCTCTCTAAAATTTTGAGTGCAGTTGTTGTTGTAACTGACCATATTTGGGATTTAGGTTTTGATACATTTTTCTACTATTTTTTTGTGTGTTTTGGCGTATTCTCGTTTCGGCTTGATCTTGGGACGACTAAAAACGTCGTAAAGTGCTGGAAACTTCACTATAAGTTCGTTAATTTAGTGATTACTTTTAAAACATCGGTGTCGAAAGTTGCTACAATTTATGCCTATACAATTGCTTCGGAGAGTCAGAGTGGAGCGATTTTTATACCATTCATCAGCTCTTGAAAAGGCGCCCAACGGCGTCTAAAAGATTTGTCAAATTTTTCAAGTTTTTGCAATGTTGCGAGGGTTTTTAGGAACCGCGTTTAGTGAAGTAGATATTTCCTACCTTAAATCATCCATTTTCAGAAAATAAGGCATTTTTACGAGCAACTCTACCTCAAAATTTATAGCTATAGCGACGGCAAAACGATGCGTTTCCGTGATTTTTCCTGTGGTCTCGTTGTTTCATCTTACTAGTGATAAATGTGTACAGCGTTAAAATTTGCTTTAAAAAGATCTTTCAATGGTACATTCGTAATTTCATAATTTCGTATGGTTTCTGACCGAAAAACTCACCGCAACCTTTGCAATTCCATTGCACAATAAGCACAAACCGTCGCCGAAAGTAACAAACAACATTCTATGACTCAACCAACCCACCGTAGCCTCTAAACTCTCAAAAGTCACCGCCCTAACTAGGGAAGTGCAAATAAAAAACCCAGCAAACCGCTTAGCAAAAATATGAGTCTGATAGAGTCGGCGACGGGGATTCCGAAACTGCAATCAGAATTTGCTAAACGCTTAATGCAAAATAGTTATGAGCATTTTAAGTTTTGCACTACATTCTCCGCCCTCGCTTATGAGCCCCTCCCAAAGATGGGTGTCCGCCTGTCGAGTGGTGTAGTGGCTAACTACCATGCCTCTGGGGCGGAGGGTCTCTGGTTCGACTCCCCGCTCATGCAAAACTTTTTGCTTTTTGGTCAAAGTCAACAACTTTAGACTTTTTCAAAGTTTCGAAGTCCGAAATTTAGATTTTTTAAGATTTTCTTTATTAACTGCGTCTAGGCCTGCCTTACGAAAAAATAGAAGTGAATTTTATTAGTGTCCTATCCGCAAGAGTACACACTCCCGCCATCACTTTTCAATCAGTTTCATAAATTTAAAAATTAAGAGAACGACCTTTTCGACTTCGAAACTTTGAAAAAGTCTAAAGTTGTTGACTTTGACCAAAAAGCAAAAAGTTTTGCATGAGCGGGGAGTCGAACCAGAGACCCTCCGCCCCAGAGGCATGGTAGTTAGCCACTACACCACTCGACAGGCGGACACCCATCTTTGGGAGGGGCTCATAAGCGAGGGCCGAGCAAGTAGTGCAAAACTTAAAATGCTCATAACTATTTTGTATTAAGCGTTTAGCAAATTCTGATTGCAGTTTCGGAATCCCCGTCGCCGACTCTATCAGACCCATATTTTTGCTAAGCGGTTTGCTGGGTTTTTTATTTGCACTTCCCTAGTAAGTATTTCCCTTGATTCATCAGAGGCGAGTAACGTTTCGTCGATCTCCTCAAATAAAACGGCCACCGGGCATCAAGAAAACGCAAACAGAGGGCAGAGGCCAGGCAAAAAAGCCGCGGTGGCCGTTTCACACATTTTGACCTGGCGATGCTGATCTGCCAGATTGATTCCATTTTTTTGTGTATTCAGCAAGGGGCACAACAACGAGCTTTTGCAGGGATGGAGAAGGTGCCGAGGATGAAGCGGCAGAGTCCTATCGATTCGCCGTCTCCGTCGTTGATGAGCAAGTTGGCGTCGATTGAGGAGGTGGAGATGGGCAGTCCGCTGCATAGTACGTTTAGACATGATCTTTAACAGAAGGAATCGATACCTTTGCTAAAATTGATGTTGATCTTAACAATTCAGTCGTCAACTTACTATGTAAAAATCATTTTTTTTTGCTCAAAAGTCGGCCGACGTGTCTTGAGCTACTCTTCACGATATATCATTGAATTCGCAAAATTTGTATTATGTTAAATGGCTTTAATTCATGTTTTAATTGAACTATTTACTTACAGGATCGTTGAGCATGGACAACCCAGTGTTTTCCATCGCCGACGACGATGATCCGGACCCGATTGTTCATCTACAGCTTGCAAGGCCGGATAGTCTACATCATTTGGCGAGGATTGAGGAGACCGACGAGGAGCCGGAGGATTCTGGTAAATTTTGAGCGTATCTAAAGGCTGAATCACGCCGTGATTTTTACGTAGTGATGTGCATTCAAGCCTAAGCAATAGCATAAATCGCGTTTCATTATCGTATACCCTCATTTTCTACCTTTTTCAAGACCCTGCACCTCATCTGATGTCAACCCTCGGTCACCTTGGTTCCCCTATCGGAGGACTAGCCCTTTTTGATGTAGACCTCGAAGGCAAACTACAAATGGATCGAGCCCCAGATTCTGATGACGAGCTTCCGGAACCCAAGCCAAGTAATTTTGGAACACTTTCTTCTTCTGTCAATGTAAACAAGAACGAGGGGGAAGGTTTCTGGAGACGGTGGTGGTCCTGGGCCCGGGCGAGTGTTTGTCGCCGTGATGGCTTCCTTCCAACCCCCGCGGGCGCCTCACATCGATTCTCCGGTTCTGGAATTCTGGATCTAGGGGAATTCTAGGAATCCAGAACACTCGCTGTATTACTGTATTTCTTTGAACATTATTTTCGCCAAAAACGTCATTGACAAGCGAGGTTGGTTAGAGTTATGCCTCTAGAATTGCGTAGGAGTATCGGATTAGTATAGTTTTTATAACATTAGGAAAGCCCTGGAAGGTGAACAAAAATGTTTCCATACGTTGTGAAATACCAGAAATTTTACATTTTTTGCGGGTTTCAGTGCCGGCCGTCTAAAAGTGGTGTTGCGGCGCATTTTAGACTAGCAATTTTCCCGATAGTTTCATTAATTTTATCCTTAAATTAAGTAAAAACAATACCTCCCAGCATTTCCTTTGTCTCGGCGCGAAAATTCCCGAGGTGCTATTTTTTCCCAAAAATCGTGGCCGCGTGCTCTCTTAGGGATGGTTGTGTAAACATTTTGGAACCGAGCCCTCAGGCGGGAACGAGCGGGGGCTTTTTGAGGGTGATTATCGGCGCCTTATAGCGAGCGAGAAGCTGACTTTGATTTTGTGGTCTTCGAAGAGACATTGACAACGACAGCCGGGGTTTAAAGGGGGCGGACAAGGCCTGGCGAGGGGTTTTGTGGTCTCGGGACGCTCATGGATCTTGTCGCGCCCGCGACACGCAACGCGATACGCAACGCAACACTGGACATGAAACACCACACCCGCTTTTCCATAGCGTGATAAATTCCATTTTTATAAGCCAAGCGCAATTATCCGGTTCTGGTTATCACCTTTTCTGCGTGAGACGGTGCGCGTCGCGTGATGCGACACGGCAAAATTTATCGTCGCACTTTCCCGGTCCCTTTAGCGTATCATTTCCTAGTTTATGCACGAATGCAGGGCAGCCTCAAAAAGCTTTGAGTTAGTCGGTAAAATCCCTTCAAAACCCAAAACCTGATTTTTCACGTGAAAAAACGAGACGAAGACGTTCACCCCTCCTGACTTGGCCTTCGATTTTTTGATCGCACCCGAATACGGAGACCAAGTCCCTTTGAAATGACTCCTGGGTCTGTGTGTCTGTCTGTGTATCGGCGTCCTCGGGGACGGATGGACCTGATGGCGGTGTATTCTTGTCAATGTTTGTGGGTGTCCCTCTGTAGAGTTCCAGATGGGACCTCTCCGCCCCATATCCGGTCCCTTCCGTATGCCGCCCGACCTACTCGCCCTCACGGCTCACGTTTGTTAAAAAAATGCGGTTTTTTGGGGTCGGTGACATTTTTTCGGGGTTAGTAGGGTATAGTCATGCTGTCAGAAGTCGGTACCCCAAAGCTAAATTTTATATTCGTTCATGAAAAAACAAAAGAGACGATAATCTGTATATCAAGCGCAGTAATCACAATCTAGTTTACGGAGCGTGAAAATGCGATACATTCTAACCTTCCTGGCCCCTTGAAACTGGGCGAAAACGTCCGGAGCGTTTCTGATACGTGTAATGCGCATCTTCGTGTAACTTGGCAATTTGCCACCTTTTTCGGCGTATGCCACCTCTATTCCGTAAGCACCAAAGTTACACTCCCCCGCACCGTTCTTAATATTAGTCCAAGTTTCTCTATAAACAATCCTATTTGCAAGTGGTTGATGTCTCAGTGTTGTTGTCTTTCTTGTATTCGAGGTTTGCACTTCTCACTTATTTGGGCCTTTAAAAGGGACCCACGTTGGAACACAGGCGTTACTCTTTTGGGCGCAGGGAGGTGTTGTCTTTTGTTGACTGAGGACTTGGGACAGTTTTCGCGGGTACCGTAACTAAAATTGAACGTCGGAAGAGCCACAAAAAAATATATTTAAGAGCACAAGCGAGGCGTTAAAGAAACATTCACCTCCCAATTTTTTAAAATCGGCGCACTTTATAGCACGCAGGGTCTGTTTCCTAATGCGTGGTTATCGCGACTCGGGGAATGGGGTCTGTTCTGTCCCGATCCCATCGGCCTGTTGGCGCATTGGTTTTGCGTTCGGTTACAGCGCACAAGGCCAGGGTTCGACCTCCGCCCGTGGCACGGCTTTTTGCTTTTCCTTACTAGCTGGCTGTTGAATGTTTCTTTTCCGATCTTTTTAAAGGCTCTAGAGAGGCAGAAAGATGAGGAGCGATAGGCAGATAGGTTAAGTCACTATCCGGCTCGGGTATGGGGGGCTCACACTACTCCTCGATAGTAAATTTCCGACCCAACATCGCTTCCATTGAGCTTTTGGTCACAGTCGCACTTCCGCCCCCGCGTAGTGTCCGTTGCAAAACGTTGCCGTTACATTCGTTTCGGTATGCGGGGAGCAGGGCGGAATTTGGCTCTGACTTGTGATCGTACGCAGCTTCTGCGGTGACTCGCCGCGGTTGCTCATCGAGTCTACTACTGCTCTACGGCTCTTTGCAGGCCAATTATTCCGGGTCAGCTTTTGGGGGGAGCGCTTTAAAGGTGCAATGTGCGCAGGGTTTTGTGTATTGGTTTGTACCGGTACTGTAAGCCCGAAATCACATTTTAATGTCTTTCTTTGCTGGTCATAACTTGACAGCTAGTGCTTGTCATTAGTGCGCGATTCGGGACCTCGTCGACCTCGTCGTCATTTGTCTGAAATACCTGGCTTGCGTACGTACGTATTTTCGCGTAGCGCATTGTTGTCGTAACCCTCCCACCAGCAAAAGCCGAGCTTTTGAACCCCGTTGATAAGTAACGTATAAAATTTTAACCACTAACTCCACGCGGACAAAGCTTTCCCTGATCGGCTATTGTTAGTGACCTCTCAAAACCAGACACGTCCAAACAGTGTGTAGTTTCTGCCAAAGTTGTGTCTCCTCCCCGGGCTATCATATCCCCGTTTTTGTGCTCGTTGACCCGGGCCACTCATGAGGGCCCCCAACGCCCGATGCTCTTCTGCTTTTCTTGCTCTCTGGAGTGTCAATTTTTGAAGGATATTTACCCCCTCACCGCGCTCAACAAACCACAAAACATGTGCCAACGAGAGTTTTGCGACACTCTACTACACCCCCTGTATTTGCTGAAATAACCCCTGGTCCTTTCAGAGACCCACCGTCACCCTGGGTCACTCCGTCGATTCCTCTCCGAAAAGACAGCGCCACTCAGAGGTACGGTAGCTTTGAAAGCATTACAGTACCCGCCCAACCGTTTCAGCGCTTTCTAAAAAGCAGCCACGTCGTCTTACAACCCGCGAAATCGAGAGCCAGGACTTGGAAAAATTAAGAAGAAGGCTGACGAGGAATTGGATCAGCCGGTCACAGTTCAGGTAGGTAAAACGATACCAAACATTTATTTCCATTTTTCATGACTCGGTATTTCGGGATTGTCTTTGCAATCGTGAATACTGTAATTTTAATTAACGTTTTTAGTCCTGAAGAACAGGAGCCGATCGAGGAGGCTGAGCCAGGAAACGAGCAGATAATGGAAGACCCACCTCCAAGATTTGAAGATCTGGAACCGGTAAGTGGCTTACGGGATTCGGGTCCCTGGACTTGATTGCCTCTTTAAAATTGTTCCGCTAGTTATCTGGTTATTTTGCTCCCTCTTTCCCTCTCTCTCTCTCTCTCTCTCTCTCTCTCTCTCTCTCTCTCCCTATCTCGCTCTCTCTCCTACCTCCCTCCCCACCTTTTCCATTCAGCACGTGGGCCAAGCCACTACACTAAATTTTCTCTGGTTTCTGACCCAAAAACACCAGCCAATCCTTTCGAAATTTCAAAAACGCCTTTGAAGACCTCTACGAACGTCAGTAAGCCACCGGCGGTGCTCCCTTATTTGCTATCGTTTGCTCGTTTCTTGCCCCTTGCATGGGCAAGAAAGTCTTGGAAAATTGTTGACTTCTCCCTTTTTAAAGGCGTGTGTCCAAACACGGTTCGTTGGTGCTCCTCGCGGGTGCTCTCTCTCTCTCTCTCTCTCTCTCTGGTGCTCCACCGGCAACGGCAAGCGCAGCCTTACAATGGCTGGATTCGGGAGAACCGTCGGGAGAACGGGGTAGTATTTGTTGAGCAGACCATGTGGATTTTTTGCATCTTTTTTTTGGGAACACCCCGACAATGGGTTGGCCGTTGGTTGATAGCGGTACTGTAGAAAGGGCATAAAAAGAAGGGCTTCAAGAGGTAGACCTTTTTCTAGGACTCTGGAATCGGGAGGTCCGACAGCACGCCTTCGCGTTTGGAGGAGCCCGTCTGGGAGCAGCAGGGTAGATGGATGAATAATAAAGAGGCAAAGTGAGTAGTTTTTAGGGTTATACGAATTTGCGTAGTGAATGAAGGCTATAAAAGTACCGATTATGGCATTAATGGGAGCCCCAGACGATATGTTTGGTGGTCAAAAACAGACCCTGGCGAGTCAAAAGATTGTAAAGAGTTATTCAGACAGAAATAAGATAGCGGAAGACGATTTACTGGTTCAAAGATACCTAGAGCGTAATTTTTCTGAGGAGGAACTGGATTTTGGGATCGCTAATTGTCAGCACCCTGTGTTTAAGCTACCATTAATTCTTAGATAGCTGAATATCTACATCATGATATCATTATTGCGTTAATGCGACAAAATTTAAGCCTCTCTGTTGATCAAAAAACTTATTTGTTTCGTCAATGAAGTGTTCGTTCTCGATTTTTCCAAGTTTTGGTCAACACAACCACGTTAATCATTCCCAAAATCAAATTTCATCAATTCCGACTCGATTCCCTAGACAAAATATCAATACCCAAATTTGAAAACAAAATGAATGGAACCCCACAAAAATTGCTAAAATCATCGGAACACTGTTCAACGCCAAAAATTCATCGACGTCTACAGTTTGCGTTTTGTGTGATTAGCCGGCCTGTCGCGCCCCGAATGGCTACGATTTACAAACATCCCGAGATTAGGTACCATCGAAAACCACGTACCCAACAGGTTCAAATATTTCCCAACTTTCGAAAAAGTGTCCGACTTTTGGTGCCGTCTGTTTTAATGGTGAAGGGTGTGCCCCTGCAATTTCCCCCCCGCATTTTCCGGTCTCCGTATGACGTAGTCATTCGTACAATGGATGCTATCGGAATTGGCCTAAAAATGATGCTGGAGTCTATTCGACATTGTTCCAGATCCTCAATGATCACTGCTCTCACAGCGTTCTACTGTTTATTCGTGACGATATTTGCGTTGGTGCTGGAGCTGGGACACCTTTTATCCGGGGATGAAGAGCGGAAGATGAATACGAAGGACTGGGTACGTTAAGTTTCGAAAAATACCCTCCCTGAAAGGAGATGCTCAGTTCTGGTACTCGCGGGCCTGAACAGCCTTTTTCTGCGTTTTCCGATTTTTAGGGACCTTTTGTATAGAGGGCACCTTAAACCCCGCGATATTTTCAGATTTTCGGCCTCTACATGTACGGTGGAGCGCTCGTATTCTTTATCTACATGTATTCCGTACTTTTATTGAATCCTAAATGGTTTTCGCCGCTGGTCGGGCTAAAGGTAAGTGCTGACGACGTTTTAAAGAGCTTATGAAGCCTAGTCCATAGAAAACCCAGCTTTTCCAGCGTTTCCTGAAGCGTCGAGTCTCCGATTCCACATCCGGTTCAACCTCCGAAGACGCCGAATCCACAGCAAATTCCGGAGCGGCAACAATTCGAAAAGTTTCTCACACCTCTCCATCGGCTGGCAGTCTTTTCCTACGCCTAGGATGCATAGGTATTTATCGTATTACCAGATACCTTAACTCCCTTACTATTTTTCAGCGTTTGGCGTCATTGGGCTCGTCTACTACGCATTTCTCGTATTTTTATGCATATCGGAAGAGAAGTGCCCGAGATTACAAGCAGCCCTGGATATTTCTGCGATAGTCTTCATTTTTATCCAGATGCACTTTATCTTTTGTAATTGGAAGGTATGGGAAAGTACTTGAAACGAAGTCACCTTAAATTCAGATAGCAATCACTGGTGCCCATTCCATTGCAAGACTCGGCACCATGCACTTGGTAGCCGCCAATCTTTGGTCGTGGATTCGGTACATCCTAATGGAAGAGGGTGTGATGGAGAAGGAGATACGGTAGGCATACTGTAACTTTAATGCCGAATAATTATATTAATTATTATCCTTTCAAAGCAAAGCGATATAAATTTTAGTGAGGTCTTCAATGAACTCGGCAATAAAACCTTGAGTGGCCATGGGAGCAGCAAAGAGTCATCAGCTTCCGCTGAAGATATGAACACAGAAAATCTCATCGCCGATTTTGACATGAACAAATGTCGAGCGGCCGAGTGTATTCTAGGTATCACTTAGTAGCTTTATTACCTAAAATCGTCTTAGGATCCCTCTCGGAAGTGATGTACACGGCCATCGTCGAGTACTCTCTTATTGGAGCGGCTGTGATGTTTATTGGTACGTGCGACGTTTTTAACTTACCGTATACATCCGTAGTCTGGCGTAACATCGGGCATCAACAGCAAGAAAACACGAATGGATATGTTAAACGGAAGCATCAGATTCGAGTCGATTGTAGCAAAACGACGACGGGTGAGGCTTAAATGGATTTTTTTGTGAGAAATCTTGGTCTTTAGCACTCATTGAATTATGCCTATATACCCTTCCAGGTCTTTTCCTCGGCCTTGCTTTCCTGGCCATGTCCTTCACCTCGATGGTCGTCTACTACGGCTACAGCTCCTTGAAACAATCGAAAAAGGCAGCTTATGTCTATTCGATTACGGATATTATTCAGGTGAGAGAGCAAAGAGAGAGAGAGAGAGAGAGAGAGAGAGAGAGAGAGAGGAGCGAGCGAGCGAGATAGACAGGTATCGAGAAAAAGAGAGCCAATTATTTCATCATTATCAGTACACCTTCTCCTCAATCGGCTGCGGCATTGCCATCTACCAAATGAGAAAACTTCAATACTACGGTGTAAAAGATGGAAAGCATGATAAAGCGCATACGGTAGAATAACTCACGTTTTAGAAAATTGGCTGTTTTTAGGAGCTTCTGGACCAAATTCTGCTTAGTTTGGGGCTGGTGGGAGAGTTGATCTACTCCGTAGCCGGACTAGTCGGGTTGACCGGTGATCGGCACTGGGTTGATCTCGCTTTTGTGCTGCTGGCGGTGCATATTTGTCGACTTGTGCAGGTAAGTAATTGCAAGGATTTGATGTTAAAAGTATCCCACAACATCTAGCGGCTATTTTTATTGTTTGTAATTATTAAAACGTTTAACAACTTATAAACATCAGATTTCATTAGGCTCATCAAAATAACCTTTTAAGGTCGGCCTCCAAACCTTTCTCCTCTACATCGCTGGTCGAGTCCGAGTATCGGAGGCCGACCGGGTCACCCAACCCGGAAAACAAGCCGTCACCTTCCTCCTCGTCGCCAATTTGGCACTATTTATGATGAATCTTTTGAATCGGAGAAGGCCGGCGTATCAGAAATTATCATAGGTACGATTTTATATATTTCCACGGATTCAAAAAATGGCTAAAAATTGAAAGTTGAAAAATGGAAAACGGCCCGATTGCCAGCGCCCGCTTTCCCGCTAGCCGTCTGCGCCCTCCACTCTGTACCCCACTCCAGGCGCTCCCCAACCCCTCATGGGCCCCCCTCTCGCATCCCCCCATGTGTCCTCGGTAGTATAGTGGTGAGTATCCGCGTCTGTCACATGCGAGACCCGGGTTCAATTCCCGGCCGGGGAGAAACTTTTTGCTTTTTGAGCCATTGAATATTCATTGCTTCAGATTTCTACGGAAAGCGCTCCTGGGTCTACCTCGTGCGCAGTTTCTCGCCTCTCACGATCTTTTATCGGTTCCACAGCTCCGTATGTCTGGCTGAGATCTGGAAAAACGTCTACGCACGGAAGGATTAGGACGTTTTTGGCGAACGATCTGCGATATTTTGTGGTATTTGCGATGTTTTATGATTATGGGTATTAAAGGGGCAGTTCTTCGTCTTTTAGTGGCCTAATCGGATGGGAATTGTCTCTTTTAAATGATTTTTGTGCATGTAATATACTAGTCGATATCGGTGCCTTACGAAAAATTATACAGTGCTTTCATTTGAATTATGGGTTACGGTTTTATCGTCGACAGTTTTGATTTCGAGCCTTGAATAAAGTGATTTTTCAAAACACTATTGAAGAAACAAAATAGCCAATAAGCCTAAAGCTAAAAATCCAGTTTTTGAATGTGCAAAATTTTTTCCACAGCAAAGACCACACATTTTACCACGTACTTGCCAAAAATTGCACCTTTCTTCATGGCTTCCGCCGACACCTCCTAGCCTTGATAAGCGCAAATCGGCTTTTCCAACCCTGCTACTTCATGGATTTTCCGGCATTTTCCAAACAACACCGCATTTTGTGGGTATAGTATCTATACGGTTTTTAATAGCTAATTAAGTATGGATTCCTGATTAACGTTTCCGCCCAATTTGCCGTCCAATTGGCCGTCGAGATACTCTACACCGCCACCGAATTTCGATCGAATTCAGCGTAGGCGAAACCAAAAATATATTTTTTGTTTATACTGTTTTAGGGCTATAAATTACACGGGTTATTCGATGGCCAAGGACCCTAATTTGTATCTGAGCATTTTAATTGTTGGGTAAGTAATTTTTCACACAGAATTCATAAATTTAGGCTTAAAATTCTAAACCTCGGCCTCAATTTGACAAGCGCTGCCCTCACGTATATAGGGTTCACGCGGAAAATCTGGATGCTAGCGTTTGCGCTGCCAACATATTCAGTAATTTCGTAGTCGTAAGATATCAAAAAAAAGCTCAGGTATTCCGCCTTGAGAATTACTTTACAATTTTCTGCAATGGCATCTACAGCGGCGATGCTATGGGCATAATTTTGGGCACATTTTTCATGATCTCAGGCTTAATGTTGATAGCCCAGTGTATTCTGGTTGGTCGTCGATTATTTTGCCTACGCGACTGTACGACGTGTCCGGTGTGTAATCCGTCGTTATTTCGATAAATTTTACAGTTCATGTGGCATTCGCAGGGCACTTTAAACGGTAAATTTACATGCCAATTACGCGATAAAATTAAAAATTGATCAATGAACAATTTTCTATGGTTTGCGATAATTTCAATCATGATTAAGGGCACAGCTTTCTAATTTTTTAGTGGTGTAATCGGTTCATAACGGCTTTTTTACCCGGAAAATACGATACGAATGCGGAGCGTTTGCTGCAATAACCCCCTTTGAATGCGGCCTCTCGAATCCGAATTTCACATTTTTTGGCGATTTTTTTAAAATTTTAAACACGACTTTAATTTTTAAAAACATTTATCGAAAAAAGCGCTAAAATAACTTAGATAAAACGAGTAAAAACGGTAGATGAACAAGGAAAAAGGTCAGAGGGCGGGGGAAAAATGAAGTGTGCGGGCAACCGGTCTGGCCAAAGTGCTGGACAATTTGTGGGGGGTTTCGGTTTTGGAGTTTTTTTCAAGGTATAATCTTTTGTAGTAGTATAATCATTTAAGGAGTAGAAATTAGTACCACGAATTGAGGGGGCAAAAACATGTCAATATGCGGCTGAAAAAAATATAACTGAAAATGCAATGGGGAAAATGTAAGGCGAGACGGAATTAAGGCAAATGGCATATTTCTAAAGGCAATAATTTTTAAAGGGATGGTGCCAGGAAGATAACACACTTCAAAATGGTGACTAAAGGTACCAGCAAGGCTAAAATCTATAGGAAAGTTACCTTGTCTACGCCTTAATCCTCCCTGGCACTGCCCCTTTAAAATTGGCAGTGAGCCTGAACAATTAGAATGAATTCGACGAGAGGAGAAAGCTTGGTGAAGGTGGGTTCAGATCATAAATGGGAATACTCTGGCAGTTGTGTGGGGTGAGATGTGAAATCTTTTACGACGAGCTGAAAGTTCATGCTCATTTCTTCTGGCCCTCCTGCTCGAGGCCGACCCGGTTGAAGCAGCGGTTGGGGAGGGCGGCGCGGATTTGCTCGAGGTTGGCAACCTGGAATTCGCGTCAGGTAAGGCCCAAGTTTTCCAAGAGATTCGGATCGAAACAGCGTTCATTAACGCGTTTATGGCAAACGTATAACATAATTATGAACTAAAAATTTATGTAGAGAAAATGAATCGGTCACTACCAAAAATTCTGGGCCAATTTTTCAGCGTCTTCAAGGAGGGCGAGTTAATTAACACTAACCTGTCCTTCTATACAAATACGCATTAATGACTACAAATCCACAAGTTCAAGAAATTAATAATACCTCCTTGGTCAACATGTCGATGTCGATCTTCATCTGCGAAATCTTGCGCTCCTCCTCCAACTTATTCGTCTTCTGGGCGGGAATCTGAAGATGATAAGCTTAGAATTTTAGTTTGTACTATCATACCTGGTTAGCCAGATCTGCCTTCGCCAGCAGCTGCTCGATGTCGTTCAGCTGACCGTCCAGCTCCTCGAGCTCGGAGTTGTTCACGTCTTCCAGGGCATCTGAAAAGGTAAAATAAATTCGCTGACGACGGCGACAATTTCAGCAAATTTTCGACATCTCGTCTAGACGCACTCAATTTGTCGATAATCCTCTTGATCTGGTCGCTCTCCTCGGTGATGGTGTTGTTCGCCGTTCGGGCGTCCATGGCAGCAAGTGAAGCCTTACGGACCGCCTGAAAAGGTCATATTACGCAGCGATATTTCGTTAAGCTACCTCTCCAGTCATAGCCTTATCGTTCTCAGCCTGCGAGATGTAGGTAGCAAGCTCTTGCTCGGTCGATCCCAAGTCAGAAGACAAAGTGTCTACATCGTCCTTCAGTGTCTTGGCCGAATCTCTAGTTGCCGTTGTAGCTTCAACAAGCTCGTCGGCTTGCTTTCCGACCAGAGCAGCATCGTCGCCAGACTTTGAAGCCAGGTCCTAAACGAAATAATCATTTCCAAGCCTCTCAAGCAACTTCGAAGCAAGATTTAAAAAATAAAGGAACTAGCCAAAAAAGAAGAAAACTGTTCAAGCTAGCAGTAAGCGTTCAACCTTATGCCAAGACGTACCCTGACTAGCTAAAAAAATTTGCATAGACTGGATCAACAAGATGTAGATCTATCAAACAGCTTACCTTTGCCTTCTGCGCATCCTGTGCCGCAGTTCCAATGGCCCGCTCGGCCTCCGCCGTCTTCGCCTTGGCCTTCTCGATCTCGGCCTGGATATCGCTGATCTTGGCAAGCTCTGCTTCAGCCGACGCCTTACTCGTCTCCACCTTGTCGTTGAATTCTGGAAAATTCGATCGTCAAAAAGCACCCTAATAATTACCTTGGAGGGTGAGCAGTGTGCGCTCGGCCTCCTTGAGCGTCGATTCGGCCTGCTCCAGAGCTTCAGTGGCCTTTGCCCGGGAAGCGTCGACCTCGGCCAATTGCTCATCAGAGATCTTCTGCTGCTCCCTGGCATTCTGGAGCTCATTTCCGGCCTCGGCAAGTGCGGCCAGGGCATCTTCAAGCATCTCCTTGTTGTTGTCGACCTCCTTGTTGATGTCCTCGCGGGTCTTCTTGGCCTCGTCGGTGATGCGCTCGGATTCGAGTTTGAGCTGAAAAGTCGAAAATTTACTTGCGGGCTAGGTTTAGGCTTAGGCTCAAGCGTAGGATTGGCTTAGGATTAGTTTTATTCCTACTGTGCTTATATGGTTGTTTGAGTTAATTTGAAGTACCTCATTCGGGTCGACATTTGGTGGCCTCAACGCGTCAACCGTCGTCAGGGCTTCAGCCGCCTTCTGGTTCGCTTCAGCGGCCTCCTTCCTCTGTTGCTCGGCCAGCTCCCTCGTCCGGATCAACGACGCATTAATGGCTGTCTGCTTCTGTTGCATCTCGTCGATTTGCTTCGAGATTTGCTCTCCTGAAACTCAGAGTAAGTTACTCTCCATACCACCCACCTCCATAAATCGCATCCTGAGCCTCTTTGCTGGCTTTTCTAGCGGTTTCCAGTGACTCTTCAGCCATCTTCTCGACCTCAAGGCTCAGCTTATCATGGCGATCAGCCTCCTCTCGGGTTTTCTGCGCAATAGAGGACATTTGGGCGGATTGTTCACCGTATCTAAATGACCGTCAGTAGGCGCAAAAGGAGCATTTCGTACTTCCTGCTAGCCTCTTGAGCTCGTTCCCACTGCTCGCTGCCCTCAACCTCCAAGTAGTGGAGCGCATTCTCGAGCTCATTACGAGCCGTTTCTAAATGATGCCTTAGATAAGGGATATTTTACATACCCATAACAATTCGGGCTCTCCTTAATGCTTGCTCGGTGCTCTCGGTCTTGCCCTTGGCGCCGTCAATAACGCCATCGATCGTCTTGAGCCCTTCGAAGGCCGACTCAACGTCCTTCTTCAGCTGGGAAACTTGGTTGATCAGCTGCGAGTCGTCGGCTTCTAAACAAAAAAAACCATAAACCACATGAATCGTAATCCGCACCCAGTTTCTTCATGACGGCATTTGCCAGCTCGGTGACCTGTTCGCCGACGGCGTTGACCTTGTTGTCAAACTCGGAGTCGTCAACCTAAGACGAGAGTTTGGAATATTAATTTGAAAGACTTACCGGCGCCGGGTTCTCAATAATCTCCCTCAAGGTGTTGTCGAGGTTCTTGACCTTCTCGCGGAACACGTTCACGCGGGATTGGATCAGCGTGTAGCAGTCGTCGCAGAGGAGGCAGCCGGCACCGAGGTTGTAGCTAAAAAATGGTTTCTTGACTTCTCTGGTCCTTTAAAATTACCGATTCTCCGAGCACTGGTCGCATCTTCGGCCCTCGATGTTGTCCTTGCACAAGCATTGGCCGTTCTTGACGTCGCACTGGGCGCTTTCTGGAAGAAATTGTTACTCCTTTTTCATAACTGCTTGTCTGTCTCTCGCAGCCCCTCTCTCTCTCTCTCCCTCTCTCTCTCTCGCTCTTCCTCTTTCTCTCACCTGATCCAATCGGCTCACAATCACAAGGTGAGCAGCCCTCGGCCGAGAATCCGAAGTGGTACGGGGCGCACTCGTCGCATCTGAATTATAGCACACCTCTAGAATTAAGCCAGCTCCTTACCGGCGTCCAGTAACTCCCGGCTTGCACTTGCACTGTCCAGACACGACATCACAAGTCGAGTCGATCGATCCAAGCGGGTCGCACTGGCAGGAGTCGCATCCGGAGCCGGAGGTGATGTTGTAGTAGCCGTGCTAAAGAGGTACGAATTAATAGGTTGAGGTTTTGCTCAGGCTTAGGCTTAGGCATCGGCTTAGGCTTAGGTTTTAACCCTACCTCGCACTGGTCGCACTGCGGCCCAATAACATGGGGCTGACAATCGCACTGTCCATCGGCCTGACCGCACTCCAGAAGGGTGTAGTCGTTCGAAGGTCTGTTAGTTCCGGGAGCGAAGCATCGGCAAGCCTTGCAGTCTCCCTTCGGCTCCTTCAGCGCATCTCCCCAGAAGCCGGCCTTGCACTTCTCGCAGTGAGACCCGTCGGTATTGTAGATGCACTTCTTGCACTCGCCGGAGATCCTAAGGACCTGAATTTCTGTAGCTCGCCGACGACTTACTTATCACAATTTCCAATGCTGTTCGGGTCGGTGTTTCCAGAGCACTCACACTCCTTGCACTCGACCTCGATCTTCGGGTTCCCGAAGAAGCCGTCCGAGCACTCGTCGCATCTGAATCCAGAATTTTTCGTGACCCAGTCTCCACCTACCGCCGTCCAGTGTATCCGGTCGGACAATCGGTACAAAGAACATCACCGTCAGAGTGCAAAACGCAGGGGCCATCCTCGGGACAAGGACATTTCTAAAAGATTACAGTAGTAAAAATACTCTGAATTCCGATACCTGGCAGTCCTCTTCAGTGCCGCGGAGGGCATCACCATAGTAGCCACGCGCGCAACGCTCGCAGGTATCTCCAGCGGTGTCATGCTTGCAGATGCAGGCACCGCTCTCGGCCTCACAACTGTCGGAGTGTCCATGGCAATCGCACTTGATGCACCGATCGAAGGGCCCTCCGAATTTCCGCTCCCTACGGTATCCAGCAGCGCAGGACTCGCAAAACTGCCCAACAAAGCTGTCCGGGCACTCGCAGAGCTCGACCCAGTGAGCACGAGTTGGCTCCGACTCGCTAGGAGCTAGACCGGCCGATCCGAGATACAGGTCGTTCAGGAAGCCGACGTCGTTGTACGTGTAGGTACCGCGGATTTTCAGGGCGGTCACGTTGGAGAGGACGCCGATGAAGTCGAGCTCGTTGAGACGGGGGTGCCACTAAAATTTAGGGGTTGAGGTGAAGCTATTTGCAAATAGGCACGCACGCCCCCGTACGCTACGCTTACCTGGAAGACGTTATCAGCATGAATGCGGAATTTGTAGTCTTGGAAGTTGGTGTTTGGCTGTGGGTTGTTTTGGGCAAAGATCGGGATGGAAAGCTCAGCACCGTCAGATCCGACGATGACAACGTCTCTGAAAAGCTCCTGATAAATCGAAGCTCCTCCGTCTGGAGCTTCAAAAAGCAAGTTTCTAGGCTCTCAACTTACTTGGTACTCGCTCTTGCTCCATCCTTTGACACGCGGAGGCTGAAGACGAGGTCCTGGTTGTAGGCGGCGCGCTGGTCCCCGGTGAACATGTTCGGCGCACTAATGCGCGGGTATAAGGGCTACAAACCGTAAATCCTTACGTGAAGTATACAGGAAATCCTTCCAGGTCCTGGACGGCAATGGCCTTGTCGATCTCGGCCCATTGAGCATCTACCGGCCCTCTGGCGGAGAGTCCACCCCAGGATTCTTTGTCTAAAAAAATAAATAGGGTAATGCACACAATTTCCTTTGCTCTCTCTCTCTCTCTCTCTCTCTCTCTCTCTCTCTCTTTCTCCTTTGCCATACTTATAGCTTTTTCGTTAAGTTTCCTAATTCCCTAATTTTTCATCAAGTTTCCGCCTGACTCAACCAATTTCACTTGTCCCGTGATAAGCACAAATCGGATTTTCACACCACCAGTCTCTCTACTCTGCTATTTCATGGATTTTCCGACCTTTTCCAAACAACACCGCATTTTATGGGTATCATCGAGATTTTTGGAATCCTGCTCATATTTAGTATGGATTTCTCGTGAATGTTTGTGCTCAATTTGCAGTACAACTGGTCGTCGGGGTACTGTATACAATCACGGAATTTAGAAAGGACTCTACGTAAGTCGAAACCAAATTAGCGTAATTTCTTTGTTTTAGGACGATAAATTATTCTGGGTATTCGATGACGAAAGCTCCTGGACTTTATCTAAGCATTTTAATAGTTGGGTAATTTATTTATATATTATAATTTTTCTAATACCTTTTAGACTTGAAATTCTAAACCTTGGCCTGAATTCCACGACGATAATCCTAACATATATGGGGTTTACCCGGAAAATTTGGACGCTGGGATTGGCGTTGCCGGTTTATTCCGTACGTTCCAATCGTAAGGTATCAAAAAGTTTTTTTAGGTATTCCGCCTCGAAAACTACTTTACAATATTCTGTAACGGTCTCTACAGCGGTGATGCAAATGGGATGATTCTCGGGATATTCTTCATGATCACGGCCATAATCTTGATCGCCCAATGTATTTTAATTGGCCGGAGGTTATTTGCGCTACGCGACTGTACGACGTGTCCGGTGTGCAACCCCATGTTACTACGATAAATCGTACAGCCCGCTTGTCGAGCATTTACGCTTGTGTGCTTAGGCCGTTGGATTTTTGGCAAATTGCCAGCGGGCGCTGCGGGACGAGAGCCTTCGCTCTTTCGATTTTTGCGCGAAGTTGTTTTTGCCCGGTTTCTTTGTGAAAACACTATAATTTGCACATTCTGAGCCCATTTTTGAAATCCTCATTCGTTTTTAAATAGTTTTGGTGTTTTAATCACCAAATTTAGCCCAGAAACAGCCGAGAACGTGATTTCGAGGTGACAACAGGTAATTCCAAATTTGCGAGCTTCCCGGGCCCCTGGGCGTAGAGAGGCCTCCGACGTACAGGGCTCCGCTACGAGTGACGGCTCGGGCCGTCGCTCAATTTTTGATATTTCGTGGCCCCTTTAAGCTTAAGCTTGTGTATATTTTTCCGCCCCTCACGAAGTGTTGGCACTCACCGGTATCAAACTGCGATGTGATATTCACAGCGTAGTATCCGTCGGCAGATGAGCAAATCGACGAATGGCCATAGCAGAAGCAAGGGGAACATCCGAACATGTTTTCCCTAAAATTAGAATATTTCGCTGCCTTTCGTGCTGAAAAGCTCGAAACAAATGACCTACTTCGACAAATCGAAATATCCCGGCTTGCACTTGTTACATTGCCGTCCCTCAACGTTGCTCTTGCAAGTACAGGTTCCGGTGTGTGCATCGCAAAGTGGCTGGTTGTCGAAGCTTCCGGCTACCTCGCACTCACAGTCTCTGAAATTTTGGGTAAGAGCTTGTCAGTAAAAAGTGAGTTTATGAACAGTTACTACTCACTTGCAGCCGTTTGGTCCGAACTCGTAGAAACCGTTGAGGCACTGGTCGCAGAACTGGCCGCCAACTCCCGGCTTGCACATGCACTGGCCCTGGCCGTCGCATTGGGTGGAGATTGAGCCTTGCTGAAATTTGGGGTGGAGTGAGGGCGAGAGATTGAGTGATAGCGGGAGAGAGAGAAAGAGAGAGAGAGAGAGAGAGAGAGAGAGAGAGAGAGAGAAACGGCGAGAGAGCGCAATCGAAATCATGAACACCGACCTCATTGCAACGGCACTGAAGGCAGAAGTTCTCTCCGGGTCTCCGCCAGTGATTCGGCATACACTCTTCGCAGTGCACTCCCTGGGTATTTCCCTGACAATCGATGCAGTGACCACCGTGGCCGGTCTCGTTGTACAGGGCCTAAATTCGACGTCAATTCTCTGGCGAACTAACTCACCGAGTCGAAGTAACAACGGTTTGAGAGTCCCGAACAGTTGCAGGCAACGCACTCGTTGGCCTCCTGGGCCGTGCCCGGGCGCCACGGGCGATTGTTGAAGAAGGGTTGACACTCGTTACAGTCGGACCCCTGGGTGTTGTGCTCGCAGCGGCAGACCATGCTGAAAAGCGGGTCGTTATCCAGATATCTTTCTATCTCTCTCCCCCCCTCTCTCTCTCTCTCTCTCTCTCTCTCTCTTACCGATGAGCTTCTCCCTCTCCCGTCGACTTCACACATTCGCTGGCGTGCCCATTGCACTTGCAACGACCACCGACGGCGAAATCGGAGATGGCGTAGTAGTAGGAGCGACGCACCTAAAGCAAGATACCTGTTAGGTCTTCCTTTAAGTTAAATACCTGAGGATCACCGAAAACTTCATCTCCAAACGTGTTCATCCTGACGAGGTGGACACGAATGGCTGAAGCGGTTACCCACTCCTTAAATGGAAAATAGACTTATTCCAATTTGAGGCCTCTTGATACCTGGAGAACATCAGAATCTTCAAAAGCGTGCGCCGAGGGTCGTCCCTCGAGGGTGGAATACGCAATATTACCGCCGGTAATGGGGGAAATATCGGAGAACTCTTTCGAGCACTGAGCGACGGCTTCATTTCCGGGGAGAATCGGCGCTTTTTCGGCGACGTGGAAAGTGGCGCGGCATGAGGAACTAAATCGTGGTTGTTAGCGATCTCTGTCGATCTCTCTCTCTCTCACTCTCTTTCTCTCATTCGCCTTCTTCCCCCCCCCCCACTCTCTCTCTCGCTCGCTCTCGCTCTCTATCTCCCTTTCTCTCTCACTAACCTGTAAAATTGCCACGGAATCCACTCGCTGTCCGGCTTCGTCTTTTTGTAGATGACAAACGACTCAGGACGCGGAGAGACGAATTTCAAGTGCACGTAGGTGATGTCGAAGGTCTTGCCTACAGAATATTGACTTTATTTTTCGTTTTACAATTTGATACCGAGATCCAGGGTCAAATTGACCGAATTTGGGTACTGCATGCCCTCCTGCATCGTGTCCGACTGCCACCACGTTGCGTTGTTCGCGTTGTTGAAGTCGGTGAGTTGTCGTGGGGGGTGGGCGAAGGACTGAAAGGATTAGTTAAATTTTTGTAGAAATCATTGGGGCCTGTAGTTTGCTAAAAACTTTTTAGTGCATAGTCACAACCTACCGGATGTCGGGAATCACAAGTATCGCAAACGCTGCGCAGTTGCGAGTGACCGGTTTGGACACAGAAACTGAAAAACAGAAGTTTTACCTTAGCAACACTTCGATATATAGGTATTTTGATGCCTGATACTCATTAACAAAAACTTACGTTGTAGGGCCATGCTCTCCGCAAGTATTTGTCACCTCGACTTCCCGTTGGAAAGCCGCGTTAATGAAATCCGGTACACATCGCTGGGGACCCAGTGTAACGGCATCGTAGCAGGGGTTCGAGTCTGAATAGGCATTATTGATTTAAATTTAAGAATGTATTTTTAATAAATACTTAGTAACAAGTAATCCACTGACCAGCCCCGTAATGATTAGGGTCGACGATGGGGTATTGGGAAGCGGGCTGGCCCAAGCTTTGCCCCACGAGGAGCACCAGCCCGAGCAGGCTGATCCGATTTTTTCGCATCACTCTATCAGCTGCGCGGTCTTATAGGCATTCAGATATGTAGGACCCGCGTCTGGAGGCGATGCAAGATGGAGCGGTCGCTGAAGACAGGGGTTTGAGCGAAAATCAACGAAAAATCAAGTAAAACGTCAATTAGAATACGAAAGAGCGTGGGAGTGCGGGTGAGAGAGGGGGTGAGAGAGAAAGACAGAGAGAGAGCGAGAGAGAGAGAGCCAGAGAGTTAGGGAAAGACAAAGAGAGAGTCGGTGGTTGAGAGAGGGCTAGAGAGAGTGAGAGAGTAAGAGAGAGCGAGAGAGACAGAGCGAGATAGCGAGAAAGACAGAGAGAGAGACAGCGAGAGAGCGAGAGAGCGAGAGAGAGTGTGAGTGAGAGAGAAGCAAAGATTAAACCATAGAGAAACAGTAGATTTAGAGCGAAGAACGCTCAAATACAATTAAGTCGACGTTTCAAAGCTACAAAAATACGTTGGATTTCGAAATCTTATTAAGCAAAAAATTACGATGCAGTGAGGCATGCCAAACCCTTAAAAACCAGATCGCTGATACCTCACTGTCACCATAAACTCATCAAAAATATGGACAAAATTATGACAAAGCTGTCACTTTCAAGACGAAATGGAGAGGTGGTGAGATCGCGCCGGGACCCAGGCATCCCCCGTTCATTAGGGCCCGCCATTCCCAAAAAAAGCTGCCTTTAGGCCCGGGCCAATTGTTCGATCCGGGCCCAGATTACAACACAATCCGCCTGGGCCCAGCCAGGTATCATTCCAGACGGACCCCTTTCCCTCTTTTTCTTGGTCACTCGCAAAAAGGGCACACACCGCTGCTGGCTTTGATTTCGTGGGTTTTCGGAGGAGTGTTGCGGACAGGGGGGTATGGTTAAAGGGGCTGGGAAGGCTGGAAATGGGGTGGTTATCTTCGCCCTTCTCACCCCTCGTTAATATTTAATTAAAATTAACAATAGTGATTTTTAGCTAGAAATCGGATAAATCGCTAGAAACCCTTTTTAGCGTCGAAACTGCGGCCGGGGAACGAGCAAAGTTCGTATACAGCTTTAATAGGAATGCTACTAGGTTAGTATAGCCTAGTCTCACACAACATAGATTTAATTAAGTTATTAAAATTACCGGCTTCTATAATTCATTTCCTTTTCCGCCCCTTTAACGGAAGGTTGGTACCTTTAGTTGGGCACTGATTACACCTAGGATCAGAGCGATTTTTTGCACATAGCAAAAACGTGTGACCCAGCGCCAGATTTATGGGTAACGTTTAGACCCTTGAGCTGATTCACTCAAGTAACCCGCCTCGAAAAGTGTATTCAAAAAATATCAGGATCCTGGGACAAAAATCGAACATTGCAAAAGTTTTGGCTCAGCTCTCTATTCTGATCACCGTGGCTGATTAGCGTTTTTAGGCGCAAATCAACGACAATCAGCTTAATGTTCTGTTTTTGATCGCCGTGGTGCGGACTAGAGTCGAAACTGGGTCTTGAAATTGGCAGTCCGAACCCTTATCCAATTCGCCATGGTTGCACCAGTGAGTCGTCGAGTTACGGCCAATTTGGAGTCAGAGACCTGCTTGCATTAATGGCTATGAAGACAAAGAAGCAAAGAATTTCGAAAAACAAATTGTAAGGAAATCGCCGCACCCTTTGACTACTGAAAATTGCACTAAAGGTTTTCAAGCGTCTTTTGCATTTTTCATCAAATTTTTTTTATGAGATTAGAAAGGTTACAAAGGTCAAATTAAAAAGGACTTCATAAAATCGAACTGTCAAGCCGAGCCGATGACGAAGGATTTCGCGGATAAAAGTGATAACAGAGCAAGTCAAGGACATGAAAATTGGGCGGGAATGAGATGTTCGTGGTGATATATTGGGCGTAAAAAAGTGGTCGATTTGTAGCCAAAGAGCAACGCTTCAAAGGTCCTTGATACGCGAAAAGTTGACGGTTCAATCGGCAAATATTGGACGGCTTTTTCGGGGGTGATATCAAGCAAGTTATTCTTGAGCTAACAGGGTATACGTGCAACGATATGAGTGAAAACGTCTATCTAGAAAAAGACTGGCCGCTCAGGGTCTCAAAAAACTTTTGAGTATTCATCAAAATGATGAGCATTACAAACTAATCACTAAAACCATAAGCGTTACAAAGTAAATCATAAAATTTGATGCCTTACAAGGGTTTGAAAGGATTCAAGGCCTAAAATCGATCAAAAAGCCGCTGATCTCCCGAAAGCCGATACAGAAAAAGCCTAGCGGACTTTGAAGGTGGAAAAGTCAGCGAATACGGTATTTTTAACGCAATTTTGTATATTTACTACTCTACAACCAATTCAAAGCGTTTGAAAGGGTTCAAGACCTGAAAAACCACCAAAAAGCGGCTGAAAACCGGAATGTTTATGTGGAGAGAACCTCGCAGTCTCTTGGCTTTGAAAAATCGTTTAACAGGTTATTTTTAATACCATTATATATGTTTACTACCCTCCAAACAAATGAAAGTCGAAGTAGACCTAAAAAATCAATCGAAAAAGATGCGCCGCCCAACCCCCCCGGGGTGCCAAACGGTGACTACTCGCCTCGGGCAACTTGCGCAATCACGGAGCGACAGGCACGTCTGGCCGCCGGGGTTGGATAGTGATTTAGACTTTTAGTGGGGAGCTCCTAATGATACCAGCTAGAGCTCGCCAAACTATCTGGAATACACCGAATCTGGTAGCCCCCACGTCACTTCCCCCCTTATTTTGCGCCCCCGGGCGATTTGCGCTGTACCCCGAGGGTCGAGCCCGGGTACGGCGTAAATAAAATGATGTGTCAGGGTGAGTCATCGGGACTGGTGTTAAGGAATTAGCATTTTGGGATCTTTAGTATTACCTTATAAACTTTTGCCAAAAAACCAGGTGACGAGGAAGCTTTTATAGCGATAAAACGAGCACGAGCATAGGAGCGCCAGTTCGTTTCGCCGCGTACGGCAGTAAAACCCGATTTAGCTTCGCGCGAAAACCAAAATTTTGGAACGTCGCTATCGAATTCTATGGATGTTATTGACGGGTTTTAAGGTACGAAAACTAAATGTAAAGTGAAACCGTATGATAGTAAGCGTCTTCTGAACTTTAAACGTAAACGAAAGGCAAAAGGTATCCTGGAAAGACCCTAACATTAAAATTCATAGGCCTTTATTGAGGATTTAAAAGGATTAGAAGGATTTTGAAGAATTAGAACAAAGTTTTGTAGCAACAGCATGAAAGTAAGAGATTTGTTAGGCCCTATATCTTCTCGGGCTAAACAAGAGGCAAAGATCCTTGAATCATGAAACAAAAATTGTTTTGATCGTATAGGGTAATTTCATAGTCAATTGGAGTACTTCCACAACCACACGGCCAAAGTTGAGAGACCACACAAGTTCAGCGCAGTCCAAGATGAGGGCCCGCAGATTGGTGCCCTTCAAGATCGGCTTGGCCAGGGCCTCCCTCGTGCTGGTATTGGTGTGTAGAGAGGGCGAGAGAGATAGCCGGAGAAAGAGAGAAGGGCTGCTTTTGGTGGGTTGTCTGTGGGAGATTGGTTTAGGCAAATATGACTGTGACCTGGCCTCAGCACACCACCACCAGAGACGGCTCTCCGACCCCGACGACGAGTCCCTAACACTCCGTACTCATTGATTAGGATGCGCGCGGCGCGGAATGGGAAGGCGGGTGGCAGATAAATATGGAATTTTGACAAAATTCCTAACATATGAGCAGCCCCTCGGAACGAAATGTCTTAATTTTTGGAGGTTTACTTAGAAGACTTTGATATTATCTATTTTGCATTTTTGGAAAAACTCTAGCGTATATACTACACAAATTTTGATAGTTTTCTGTCTTTCTAATGCCTTTAAACTCGTATTTGAATGTTGACAGCGGCATCATCATCCTAAAGGGCTATGCAAGCCGTTTTTCAGGAAATCTATAAGAGCGCCTGGATATAACGACCCTCGGCTTTTTTAAGGTTTAAGGTAGCCCCAGACTTAGGCTTAGGCTTAAGTCTAGACTTGGGGCTTAGCTGACGCTTTGGTTAGGCTTAGGTTTGGGCCTGGGCTAGGGCTTAGGCTCGGACTTCGTCTTGGGCCTCGACTTAGGTCTTGGCTTACATAGGCCTTAGGCTTACTTAGGCCTTGGCTTAGGCTTATGATTATGCCAAGTCTTGGGTTTAGGTTAGGCTTAGGCCTAGGTTTCGGCTTGAGCCAGGGTTTGGCTTAGGTCTTGGCGCAGGCTTAGGCATTGACTTAGCCTAGGCTTGCTATTAGGCGTAGGACTAGGCTTAGGCTGGAGACAAGGATTGAGTTTTGGTATTTACTTAGACTTGGGCTTCTGCCTAGGCTAAAACCCGTTAATTAGAAACAATCGCTCGAATAGCTCAGAAAAATAAAAAGAGCCACACAGCAAGAGTAGATTGGAGTGTAGCGTAGCTAGGTGCAAAACGTACTCGCGCACATGCTGCTTGCTATTGCCCCTTCATAAACTCACAAACCCCCAAATTTGCCCATCCCACAGATACTGTAAAACGATCCGGGACGCCTGGTGGAGTGAGAAGGAGCGAGGGGGGGGGGCAAGGCGGCGAAATATCGTAAAGAACGGACAGGCGGCCCCGGCGAGCGGGATATTGGCCACAGCTGCGCGGCCCAGATGTGGCCCGCCACCAGCTTTTTTTGTTGAGCCCGCTCTGGCGCTAGGAAAAAGTTGTGGCCATTCGCGGGAGAAATTTTTGCGGGGCTGGGCGGCGTGAAAACAGTGCGGTGACAGGAAGACGCAGCTGCTGGTGTTCAAGGGATCGAGATATGAAGAAATACGGGTTACTGTAGAATGGACTACACGTACGGATGGTGGTATTCTTGCGTAATCCAGCAATCAAGGAAAGCCGCTCAAAAAGGACAGTTTTGGTCGAAATCTTCCAGCTCTGTAAATACACAATTCCAAAAAGTACAATATTCGTACAGAAAACCTCTTGATCGCGAGTTTGAAGCGATTTTCCACTGCTGTGGTTAGAATATCGAACTTTTTGAAAGTTTACGCCGTTCTGAACAAGCCTGAAATCGCTGGGACGACTATTAAGAGGCCGTAAGTACGAAACGATACTTAAAGCATTAAATTTTAATACAGTATCATGCACCAAAAAATTGGCCGGACTAAGTCGCGTACAATAGGTATAAAGTAACAATAATATCGATCCCCTAATACAGCAAAATCAGCTAGAAACCATCGAAAAAATCACGACTACGATGACTTAGGGTACGCAACGATGCTAAACCCAATAATTCTAAAAAATACGGTATCAAGCCGAAAAATTGGCCCTCAGCCACGCGCGCGGCTCGTAAACGGCCGGCCGCGAGTCGTTGTTTCGTGTTGCGCCGCCGAGTGATTGTGGCTGATTGCCTTGTGGAGGCATTGAATACGGGGGGTGTATGCATGTGTTGTGTGGATGCGAGGGGATAGCCCTGGGGGCACAAGATGGCGGTTGACCTCTATCGAGTATAGCCCCTCTAAGGGGATGGGCGATAAGCGATAAGGGGGGCTGGTGCACAACTACGACCTCCCGTGCTTGCCCAGTCTCTAGAAGGGGTGAAAATGGTATCAATGCATGGATGCCATGGTCTTGGGGTTGGACAACACAAAAAATACGTTAGAAGAGGGGTGAGAGCGGAAGAGAGAGACATAGAGAGAGGAGAGAGAGATAGAGATAGAGAGAGAGAGAGAGAAACAGACAGCGAGAGAGAGGATAGAGAGAGAGAGGGAGAGAGGAAGAGAGAGAAACAGACAGCGAGAGAGAGAAACAGACAGCGAGAGAGAGGATAGAGAGAGAGAGGGAGAGAGGAAGAGAGAGAAACAGACAGCGAGAGAGAGAGAGGAGGGAGAGAGAAAGCGAGAGAGAGGTGACAGAGAAGGCATTAGAGAGAATAAGCGCGAGTGACAGGAATAGAAGGTTAGCCAGAGCTGAAGCTAGCCTCAGATCGAGATAGAGTATGAGAGAGTCGGGCGAAAAATATCGTCATCTAGACAACGATTGGATGCAAATTAACAAAAACTGGACCAGATTCAGGGAATACCTTACGATTTGCACCCCACCCTCTTCCCCGGCAAGACGGATGGTAGCGTACAATGGTGGACGATGAGTCAAGAATGGGCCGGGCCGATTGATGGGCACCCGCCCGAGCGGGGCCCGTGGTGAGTCACCGATCCCGGAGAAGCCGTCGCGAAGAGCCGATGCTCTCGCTTCATATAATACACCGTAAAATGCCCACTGTCAACTGGAATGTAGTGGAATTGTTGGAGATGGAAATCCGCGAAGGACTTTTGGAATAATACGGGATCCAGAGGAAATTATAGAACTAGGAAGGAAAGGGACAAAGAGGGAGAGAGGGCGATAGAGAGAAAGAGAGAGCGAGAGAGAGAGAGAGATAGAGAGAAAGAACGAGAGAGAGAGAGAGAGAGAGAGAGAGAGAGAGATGGAGGGAATGAGAGAGAAGAGAGTTCTAAAAAATAACTCTAAATTGAAATTTTACCAAAATTTGTGTAACCTTTTGCATATACCCTGAGACCCTTGAGCACCATTTATTCGAAAAATGACCGGCTTGAAACCTGTGCCGGCAAGAATTCCATAATTCCGCCTCAATCCTCTTTACTTGCCCGGTGGCCCGGCCCACAAGGCATCCAGTTGCTTGAAGTAGTCTTCTTGCGTAGCTCCCAGGTACATATGCTAAAAAAAACAAATTTTTCGAATTCCCCAAAAATTCCTGCTAGCCATCCCGGGCCAAATTCCCCCACCTTTCCATCCGTATTCAATATAACCGTCGATTCCGGCCCGCGTTTGCTCGAGCTAGGCGCAGCCTCGGTGGCGTGGATTCGCCACCTGCCATGGCATCTAAAAAAACAGAAAAATTCAGGTTCCGGCCTTTCATCGACCTATACCCGAATTTTTTGAGAAGTTGTAGGGTCACAGATTTTGCCATGTTATACCACGCTTCGTGTGTGAAGTAACCGATAAAGCTCATCAGGAAGACGTAACTAAATAACCACAAAATATGAAATCGATCATGCTAAATCATAAAATCAAGTAAATTAGATACTTACAAAGCAAAAAGGAAATCCATCAGTACAGCCAGGCGATTTTTCCAGGCCCAAGAGAGGTCCAATAATTGATAGGTTGCGAAAACCGAGGCTATAGCGGTGTGAGAAGCTAGGGAACTGACCACCAATGTGACGAGGACCTAGAGCTATTTAAATTTTATAGGCTTAATGATTACCCTATAAGCTTTGATATTTTCATGAACTTGATATCGTTTCGCCAGTGAATAACCGTGTTTTCGCCAATTGTGCCACAGCTGCTGCCTCCTCCGATCGTTTAGGCGGATGAAAAGCATGGCAGACTAAAAGCGTATTGACAGTCTGAATTTTAGAAGTCAACTTAAAAATACTGGCTTACTAAAGCCAACAATTACTGTTACAAATACATTTAATAACCCCAAATTCCCTACCAAGCAAGACAAGTAGGTATGGATGACCGCGATAATTGTACAAGCAAGGTTTCCAAGGAGCGCTGAAAAAACTTACAATGTATGAGAATTATAGGCATTAAAAAATATGCCTGAAAAAAGCATTAAAAAAGTCTATACCTACCATAGGTATAATTAAAGGTATTCAACAGCGACCACCCAGTGCTGAAGGTCTGGATGAGGATAAAGACCCAGCGATAGGGCTAAAGCGGGCTCTTAGAGTCTTTTGCATTCCTGCCCTTACCTTTGTCGGATAAGTATCCGCTCTCCGTAACGCAAAATTACGTTCTAGCATTAATGAGCTCATAGCAGCTAAAACAAGAGTAAAAAAATTAGATATTTTGTCAATTAAGCCTTACTCAATCCGACCAAAATCACATAAGTTCGAAGGGACGATGCGATAAGTAGACCGAGTGGTATATCGGCATCACCTAGAGGGTAGTAGCTAATGCTTAGACTTAGGTATATGCTTGTTAGGCTTAGGCTCAGGCTTACCAATCTGATAATTCCCTATCACATTATTTTGATAGGCAAAAAGAAAGAATCTGGCTATCATAAAGCCATAACTTTGGGCCATCGAGATTGCATAAAGATTAGTGAGGTTATTATGAAAAACCTATACAATAGTTATATTTTAAAGTGAAAAAGACTTACATTAGTAACGAAAACAATATACAACGAAAATGGGGTCCACAACATTGTGAAAACCATCATAATCGACTCCAAAATAAACCCGAAAAGCACGAGCGGCCACTGCCCCTCGTCTTCCATGGCGGTTCGATTAACGTAGATATGGATATTATATTCATCATCGAAAATCCATTCGAACGGCAACTTTTCCCACATTTTATTCATTTTCAAGATTTTGGAGAGATTTTGGAATCCGATTCGGATGGAACCTCTCGGTCGATCGGGCAAATTTTCACCTGTTGCTAATCCTTGGGGTTACGAGGCTCGTTATTATTATTCGGTGGCATTTACGCAAGGCGACCTTTCTTAATTAAAAAAGATGAAAAAAATGACGATTATCTTCGATTCTTTTTTTCATTAAAAAACCACGCCTTGGAGAGCGCCTAAAAACGAACTAGCAAATTTGCCAGACCATGGTTGATAAAAAAAAATCGAAAAATGCTGCAAAAGCGCATGGCATAGCAGATTTGTCCGTGCAGATTTTGTAAAGAATACCCTACGATATTTTTCCACTTTTAAAGTGAAGAACAAGCTGAAAAATTGATGAAAAACACTTCTGATCTGGCGAGCTCGCTGTCTGCGCCCGCTTCCCTCTCTCCAGGGTGGCGCCACCCGCCTCTTTTCCTGCCCCCAGCGCCTTCCACCCGTGCGTTCGTGGTGTAATGGTCAGCATGGATGCCTTCCAAGCATTCGACGGGGGTTCGATTCCCCCCCGAACGCAAAGCTTTTTGCTTTTTGGGGTTTTGATTGGTACTGTTCGGAAGATACCTCTGCAAATGGTTTTTGAGCAACACTATTATTTATTGAGTCATATCCAACCTAGTTTTATGTTAGTTCATGGCTCCGCCGTCTCGCCGGGCTCACTTTGCCAGATGACATTTAGTTGTATGAAGTAGTCATTCTGTGTGGCTCCCAGATACATGTTCTAAATTTGGAGGTCCATTGAGAAAAATTTTATTTTTTTTACCCCTCCTTGCGTATCGCGGACGGACTCTGACGCCTGTTGCCATGGGCTCACTTCATGCTTCCCCCACCTGCCACGGCATCTAAAATAAATACTTTTTTCAATCTGTATGAAAGGTGCACTTCGTACCGGAATCGTCGAAAAAGTTGGCTAATTTCCCATTTGGTCATTTCGAAAATGAGACGATGGGAGATGAGGCCGACGAAGCTGATGCCGAGCACGTAGCTAAATTGGCCAGGCTTGGGCGTAGGCTAAGGTATGGCTTAGGCTAGATTAGAGCTTCCAAGTTTGTTTGGCTTAGGCTTAAGCTTGATCGTAGGCTTCAAATCCCCTTCTTTCAAAGTCCTACCTAGCCAAAACAAGGTCAATAAACGCCCCAATAATATTCTTGGCCGGCCACGCCAGCCTCATCCCAAAATGCGCACTAAATAGCGCCCCGATAAATAGCTGGTTGGCCAGGGCGAATATGATTATGGTTAAAAGAATCTAAACAAGTGCTTATACAGGTTTTATTAAGAAACCATACCTTAGCCGCCTTGACATTCTCGGTAATTTGGTATCTTTTAGCTAGGGAGTACCCGATTTTCCTCCAGTCATTCCAGAGTTGCCGCCGTTTCCGGTCGTTCCATTTGATAAACAATATTGCTGACTAACAAAATTCAGATGCTTTCAAGAAAGTATCAAGCTGCGACTTACCAGACCCGAGAAGATCGAGTGAAATAGACAAAGGGCTACGAAGATTTCCATATTGGCAACGCCTGAAAAATTAATAAAGGATTGAACCTTAAATATACCTAAGTTTGCATTTAGCGCATTGATTATAGACCAGAAAGTTGTGGCACCCATGATTATAATGGAAACGTATCGATAGGGCTCAAAACCACTAAATTCCGGTTATGGAAATAGCCTTACTTTTGTTGAATACGTTTCAGCTAGCAGTAAGGCGATCATTCTTTCGGTTGCCAGGGAGCTGATAGCCACTAAAAAATTGATTAGTATATTTCTGGGATATAAGCGCATTAATAAATTCAACGAGGTTCTTGCTATAACATCGCATCAAACAATGACTATTTAAAAAGTTATGACTTACTTACGCCGACCATAATAACGTACGTTCTAAAGCAAGAAGCTATAACCAACGGTATCGGATGGGGTTTTTGACCTGAAAGATACATTAAATCGGTTAGAAACATACCATAGGTATACCCAAAACACTCAATCTGATAAGCATACAAGACAATTCGTGCAAACATAAAGGGATAGCTTTGCAAAACGCAAGCAGAATAGATTAGCACTAGATTGTGATGGAAAATCTAAATACAGATAATTTAAAAAAATAATAGACGGGTTTAAACAGTTCAAACCCACCCTCATCCGATGCATCACCAATACGGCAAACGGGACCCAGACCATCGTCAACAGAATCATCACAAATTCACAGAAATTTATGGTATAAATTAGATAATGCTGGTCAGCCTCGTGGAGTGCCGTTGCGTTAACGTAGATATTGATATAAGTCCTGGTTTCTAGATGCGAAATCCGCTCGAAAAACGACATTTTTTAATGGTCGGATCGAGACGGATGGGAGCAAACCGTCGTCGGGTTTTGCACCTGTTGATGTCGGCGCCGAGGAACACAGAAAAATTTGGACTTTGGAAGGGGGCGGTCGGGAAAATGTACCAAAGTAACATGACATTCATAAAAATATAGCCACTCAACATCCAACAGGAAGATTGTGTTGTCTTATTTTCAAGTTTAATTTTTAAATTCAGCTGCGAGCTTTATTTTCCGCTATACGTTGGGATAAAATTTTTTTGAAAAGCACGCCAAAAACAGTAAGATAAGCACCGTAAGCGAATATTGAAAACTGGCATCAGAATTTCGCCGCAGCTTCATCCTTGGCCTCTCATCGTCGCCAAATTGAACCAGCGGACGTGACCGCGTTCTCGGGTCCAAAATCGGGCTATTATCCCGAATACGACCGCCATCCGAATCGAGGTGCAGCGTCTCGTGCTCCGTATACAGGCGCCAGCCGCCGTCAGAATCCTTGTGGCCACCCTGAATTAACAAACTAGGCTAGTTTCATATATTGACTAACAATAATTAACTTTATCAGGTGGATGTTTGTCTAATAATTCCTTAAAGGAGCATATCGAGGGGGACCAAAATTTAAAAGTGCCTACCTTAACCCGAGTTGGCAAATGTCCAAAATGACCAGTTTCCACGATTGCAAAAGTTTCTGGATCGAGCTCTGCGTAGTGACCGTCGTGCTAAACGTGCAATTTGGTATAGCATAGTCGTGATGATCCGAATTTGTTAGCGTAACCTGTTGGCCTGACCAGCAAAGTGTATATTTACCGGTATAGCGGTTGTAAAGTAAAAAAAGACAGCGACTTATGATAGAACAGAGCTGTAACTTTATATTTTTCGATAATAAACTTTTAATAGCGTAATCGGCCAACCCCACTGTTTCTATATGCAATTCTAATGCCCCGATAAACCGAGAACCAACCCCGATCAACCAAATCTGCCCAGCAACTGACGACAGCGCGCCCTGGATCGCGAAAGGCGGCCGTTGTGGTAGATTCCGTCTGAATTTCACCGTCATCGGGCGACGGCCTATGAATTGACCATAGTCGGCCCCATAGACGATGATGTGCTTCTTAACATCAACCAGATATACAAGATAATTTTTGCTTTCGGACCCCTTCCTCTGCAAATAGCAACACCATATCCAACCACATGTCGTAGACGGCAGCCTTTAGCCTTGGGCTAGTCGCGAATTTGTTGCCGGACAGGTCTTTTGACTAAATTTTGGTTAAAAAGCGCATTTTAGGCATTTACATGTCCAATCTGACGGCCCAAGACCCGGTGCACGTTTTGGCCATCGAAAAGTAGTGTGTCTTGGCCATTTGCATCTAAAACCTCAGACCTTTTACGCTAGAGCTGATAAAAAAAAAATAGGTATAAAACCTGAAATCGGTCAAGTTTACTTACGGACAGCGATTGCTATCAAATTCCAGGGTAGCTCTTCTTCGTCACTAGTATCGGGGGGCACTAAAACAGCTATTAAAGCGCACGTTCAGGGAGGGGCCGTGTACAGCGTCCCAACGTGTACACTCTATGGACGTAGGGACAGCGCGCGCTGCCTGCCCGTGCTGTGACAGGCCATTCCCCTCCTTTCCGGGGTAGGGCGTCCCTCGGCCCCTCGCCAGGTTGCATCTGTGGCTGACTGGTATGCGACCGCGTCTCCCGATCGGGAGGCCCGGGTTCGACCCCCGGCCGCGGCGAAAATCTTTGCTTTCTTGCCCAAAAACGTCCCTGAACGTGCCCTTTAATGAAGTGGATAGATCGAAATTTTTACCTCCATCTCCGGAAATCCCAGGAAGAGCCGAGTCCGTTCTGTATGCGGTTTTGGACCCGTAGAGATCAGTGATCGCTTGGATGTCGTCATGATTCAACTTCGGGACCACATAATTTTTTCGATCGTCGGTTGGTTCCTGAGCTATTGTCAAAAGGAATGAGGTGGTAACTCACGTCGTACCATGGGTGCATAATTGCGGATGAGTCGCGAATATGACCAATTCCGAGGACGTGCCCGATTTCGTGGATAGCCACGGAAAGGAAGTCGACGTCAGAATCTCTGAAATGGGTCTGATATATAGGCAAATGACAATGTAATAAAGATAGGTAAGACGCACCGGATCATAACGGAAAAATCTGCCCACTCCTCGTCGTCGTCAAAATGAAGCCCGCCGAATTCCGGCCCAAAAGCATGGCCCAAAACGTTGCCTGGAAGAGAAGCATTGTATGGCAGCTTTCTATAATTAAATGACCAAATTCCTATAAATCCAAAAAAAAGAAAACGGTTTTCATCTTACCCGGACCATCAAACGCGTTGTTGTCTTGATGCGCTCCTCGGGCAAATTTTATCTAAATGGATTTCTAACTATAAAAAGATCGATCCACCTTGATGTTCGGGTCACTTTGAACTTCGACAAATTCAAGCGGGGCAACTGCTGCCCAATATTGAAAAGCTTCAGCAATTAGGCGTTGCGTAACGTCTTGAGGAAAACGCTTCGAATAAGCCAGGATCGAATAGGTGATCCGGTTGCTGGGCCACTTGGGGGCGGGGCCTAAAATTGGAGCTCTGGCAGGCATTTGGAAGTAAAATCCGGTTTTAGGCCCTTTTAAATATGACTACTTGACTTTTTGAGGGAAAACTTGAGGCATGGCTACCGTAAGAAGAACATATTTATGTAAAAAGTACCATTACGTATTTGCTGAACATCCGCCACCCCACACCTTGGCTCCATCATTTTATCTTTTGTAGCCTTATCCAAAATTCCGGTCGCTCGAAGGCCAGCCCATTTTTGAAAATTTCTAAACCGACATTGTGAATCTTTTTGGTATTTCACTACCGTAATGTGCCGATTTTTGAGGTCATCGACATCGGAGCGTCAATTTCGTCGGCTATCGAAACGTATTTTCCGGCATAACCGTACTGATCAAGGTATTTCTAAAAAACGGGCATCAAAAAACCATTTGAATATTCCAAACCATTGTTTCGGAATCGGTTAGATGACTAGTTGAGCGAGCTCCTTAAAATAATTAAAATGCCAGTCTAAAAAATCACCCTACCCGTAAAATGTAGTAACAATATTAAGAGCAGAAACCATCGCAATAAAGTCGAACCCATAAAAACAGCACCGGAAATGAGATAAGACCGTTTTTCTGCAATATTTGAGGGGAAAGCTCCTTTTATATGCGGCCACGTGAGAATCTTGCCAAAAATGATGACTAATGCCTAGCCTATTTATCGATGAGCCACCTCAACACGGTTCAAAACTGATAAAAAATCCCGCCGTTGTGGTAAGCGAATGAGTCTGTTTGCATCTTGTAAGTTTATTCAGAATCAAAAAACGATAAGATTGACGATTTAGAGATTGTGGTTTTGGGAGATTTGAAGTTTCTGGGCGTTGGCGATCGTAGCGATGTGATCTGAAAGAGCAGTTTTAGCATTTTTCTGTAATATCGAGTATTTAAAGTTAAAAGACCTCCTAAAAAGCTATTTAAAATTGTGGCAAATTTTTACTACTGTATTTTTTTGACCTTTTTTTATGAAATTAGTTTCACGAGGCTATGACTATGCATTTCAAAGGAAGCGGTAAGGCTAAATTTGAATTTTACAGGTTTTTATTAGTCTTGGACATTTTAAAAAAGACTGAACAAATTTTGTATTAAATTTTACCTATTTTAATCAGCGATGCGAACGTTTTTGTCGGAATGACCCTTGTAGTGCTGGGATTGGCCTTCGCGGGTCAGATCTCCGGAAAAGTGCATGTCATCAGCATTCGGCTTGGACGCGTCTTGGCCAACCTGAAAAGTGCATTTTAATCAGCTTTAGTCAGCAAGATTGATCATTTTAACTCAACCAGTCTAATGATGTATCAATTAAATGCATTGCATCGGTTTAGAAATTTCAAATATTGTTATGGAAACAACTTACGACGTGCTCATTCTGAATCGGCCCATGGTCGCAGCTTCGCTCGCAGCCGTGGTGGCACCTCTTCTTCATCTAAAAAAAACAGGATTTTTTTACTAAAAGTAAATTTTACCAGTTCAACCTCGTCGAGGGGCACCTTCTCGACGCCTTGTTGAGCAATGCTGTTCATGACGGACGGGATATAGAAGGGTAGAATTGTTCTGAACGAATAAAACCTAGTCTTAGCTGCAAAAACCGAGAAAAGATATACCAAGAATTCAAATCGAATGGATAATGCACGGTTAAGAACCGGTTCGGTAAAATAAATTTTGAAAGTTGGATGAAAATAATTTATTTACAGTAATTACACTTTAAGCGTTGTAATTTAATCCTCTTGGTAGTCTGTAATTGCTGTTGATCCTTGAGATGCTTTGGTGGTTGTACTTTCTAAATAAAACGGCATTAATTTTAAGCTAGGATTTGACTATGGATGATCAGCAACCATGGCATTTCTGCTTGTCAGTCCCTTAAACGCCTCCTCCTGATCTTCCTTGGTGATGCCGCCCTCGAATTCCATATCGTTCGGGTTGGGCTCGTTTTTCTGAAAACCATAGATATTGGAATTATTGGAAAAATCAGGCTAAAAATGGTCTCTTTCGCAAAAAAAATCGTTGACTTACCAAGTGCTCAGGCTCCGGACGGCGGTCGTGATCACACTCGTCGCGGCAACCGTGTTGGCATCTTTCATGCTAAAATTTGAATAATTTCGGAAGTTTCAGTACTGCCTACCAATTGCTGATCATGGAGATCGTTGTCGAGTTGGCGTTTAGCATCGGACATTTTCTTAAATTTGGATAGCATTCTGCAAAGAGGAAGAATGGAAAAAAAATCGATAAAAGGTATAATTCAAAAATTAAAGAGGTACCTTTCAGACGGAGAATGCATTTTTAATGAAACGTTGAAACCAAATTAGTAGATGTAAATTAGTTACAAGTTGATAATAATGAAATCTAGCCGATTCCAACCTTAATAAAATTTTTGGAGGTTACTGTGTTACCTATTTTTTTAAGCTCTTAGAGACTCAGAAAAGGCCTAAGGCGCTTTATCGATCTCTCGAGTCCTAGAAAAGAAATCGAAAAGCCGATCGAATTCCTAGCAAAAAATAGCTGACTTTTAGCTTAATCTTAACTGAATATGACGCTTACACCTCGTTTGTGAATAAGTATACAGGTGAGTCTCAACTTCATCAAAATTTTAACGTTTTTCGGGCAACCATATAGGACCAAGCAAACCAGGAAAGGGCTGAAGATTCAGAGGCATTTTTAAAAAGACCTGAAAAATTCTATCCAAGATCCTAGAAGAAGCTAGCCGACTTGCGGCATGTCCGACCCTTAAATAAGCCTCAAAAATAGATTTCGACTGCGCTATGGGCTAGATTGGGGGAGAGGGGCGTGTGGGGTATGTCGAAAAGGGTGCTTTCCCTGGCCATGTTTTCCTCGTCTCACCCCCAATTTTCCGTAAACAAGAGTGCAACGGCCCAGCCACCAACCCCCAAAAATATGTCCCCTTTATCGTAGCCCTTGCTGCGTTGCTGTCACTTTTTGACCCGCCGGCTTTCAAGCTGATTTGGTCCCGCTCTACTCAAAAACATATCCATTTGTCTATTGTCAAAAAAGTGCCGGGTCGCGAAATTTTGGGAAAGCGCTTTTTGATTGAGTTTTGACAAGTTGACCCTGAAATTGAGCTGTTGCTTGTTTTGCCAGACTCTTTTTTTATGAATTTTGATGAGTGTCACCAAAATTTTCAATGTTTCTTGTTTTGCTGGCGTCATTTTTTGCATTTTTGACAAGGTTACCGTCAGGTTCATTTTTTTTGTTTTGCTGACCTTTTACGAGTTTTTGACAGATTCGCCCGAGATTTTTAAGGTTTATTGTTATCGTGACTTCCTTTTTGCGCGATCCTGAAAAGTCTAGATCAATATTTGTTTGCTTATGGTGTTACTGACCTCACCTTTTGTGGTTTTTGTCGGTTTCAGGCCCAAAGTGCTAACATTTTCGTTTCAGACCCCTGAAAATGAGCGACAGCAAGCAGTGCAACAAGCGGGATTGTGACCATAGCCCTTGCGTAAGCCGGAGACGTGAATTGAAAATTTATATAATTTTCTATAGGGCCAAGAACCGTGCCAGAAAGAAGAAGTGTTAGGCACGAAACCGGGAGCCGTATATGGTTGGTTGATCACGGATAGTGATGAGCAGCCGATTGTAAGTTTTAAAAACTTTAATAGCTATTTTCACGCTTAGCAAGTGAAGTTTGAGCCTCATATTTATGTATATCAAGATTTTACTTGAAAAAAATTTTGTTTTAGGGTTTTCAAAGATTTTTGCATAAATAGAAAGAGCTTTTACGAAATCAGCGGCTGTAGAACTTATAAAACCTACTTACTTACTTAAACTTACTTATAAATTATAAAACCCAATAGTGCACTATTTTAACAATATTTTTAAAAATTTTCTGCTTGATAAAACTTTACAAGTTGCTAATTTCAGAGATTACAGATTGGCCGAGATAAAGTCACTGGAGACGAGGTGGCGATGGACACCGCCGGAAATTGCCACAACGCACGAACCGGCGAATGTGTGCCGAAGGAGAATATTTGTGATTATTCCTAAAAAATCATTTGTGTAACTGAATCATTGCTGCATTAATTGCTTTATACTGGTGTAATTACCCTGTGCCAAATACGATAAATCGTTGCATTCTGATACTGTAATCTCAATATTTTCTCGGAAATCTATATGCTATTTGTTTATCGGTTTTACGGTAATTGGCTACCTTTATCGATCAAATTAGTCGGATTGTAAAAAACTGTAGACAGGTTACCCCGGTGGGTGCTCAATAACAAAAGTGCACCCGCCGTCTTTGACTGTTTTTGGGGGGTGAAACAACAACTCAAATGATCAATCTGATGAGCGTAAATAGATGCCAAATACCTTTAAGAGCTGCCACGTCTCTCACTATAGGAAATTGTCACCATTTCTACCCAAAACACATCGAAAATGGAGCACAACGACGCGTTGACCAGGGAGGCCGAGCAGAATTTGGTAGGCAGCTAGCTTTCAGCCTTATTTATTAATAATGCTATCTTATCTTTTTATTCTTTAAATATAGGCCCTTTTGAAGGATCTAAAAAAATCTTGCTTTAGAAAAATCGACAAAGCTTCCATAAATATGGTAGTGACGCTGATGGGAATATCCGAGGTTTGAAGCCGGCTGAAGATCACAATGCTGTAAGTTTAACAAGTTTAATCCGCAAAAAAATATGGTATTAAATAGCTATAACAACCTATGCAGCTTCTATACTGCCAGGTTAATTAAATTTCACTAAACGTAAACTTCTCAATTTCTTTGCCCCTTGACACGCCGAACCGCCCGCCGCCACTTTTTTGTCGAGGGCGAGGCGTCAACACAACCCTCTTTACCCCTCCCTATCGCCCCTTTCCCGTGCGTCCGTGGTGTAATGGTCAGCATGGATGCCTTCCAAGCATTCGACGGGGGTTCGATTCCCCCCGAACGCAAAGCTTTTTGCTTTTTGGGGATTTGAATGAAAATGGTCATGAGGGCCTTTCTATTAGGGTTTTAAAGAATTTCAATCTATTTTGACGGCCAATATCCATTGTTTTTCAGATTGGGCGAGATGCGATCAGCGGTTGCGAAGTTCGCGGTTTGAAGGAAGGATGTAATAGCCATCAATCCGGCTATTGTAAATCATCTGGAAAAGTTTCGGAAGATAAATAAATATTTTTAAAGATTGTTGATACTTTTGTTCTTAGCTAATGGCTTTCCAATAGCTCTTTTCGTATTTTTGCTATTAATTTGATCATAAACGGTTATAGTATGGATTTTATCGAATTTAGAATGTCGCTTCGCGATAAAGACAGCAACGATTTGCAAGAGCCGATGCAAAAGGACCTGGTGAACGTTGAAATCAAAAATTAACTCTATTTCAGCATGAGCAACACGGCAACATCAAAATGCAGCACCAGGGCTCGATGAGTGGGATGAGAAATCAGGCAGCGATTCCGGGGGATGGCCAGCAAATGGTAGGTGCAATTTGCGTTTCAAGCATAAGAAAAATTAAGCATTTTTACAAAACTTAACAAAAACGCCTTAACAAAAAAAAAGACGCTTTAACAAAAAAGTTTTTAGATGGGCTCGGATCTGTTAAGTAACCGCGAAATCTCCCATCAAGAAAAAGGACGTGGCTCTGATGAGAATGCTGGTGAACGACCTTCCAATCCGACCTTTTTCACTCGTGACTAATTTCGGTGTAGTATTTTGTATATTTCAGGAATAAATCTTTATGATACAATGGAATGCATGAGAGACAACGCCAAAAGATGAAAAATATGCGATAAAATTGGGGAAAAGTCGATCTAGAAAGCATCTACAAAAAACTTTTGAAAGCATCTTTGGCATTGAAAGCTTTTCTTCTGTATTTAAGCATATAATAAAAAATAAATAGACTTCTAAATCTATCAAGAGTCGGCCCTATTTTGTGATTTGGATTTAGGGACTTTGCGCTTAGAGCCAACGGCTTTCCGAAACTCTTTGAGGCTACAACACGTCTACCAGGCCATTTCCCCTAGCAAACTTGGATACACCAAAGCTTTACCCAGCACTCTAAAGAACAAATTTACCATTTCAACGGCCCGTTGCGACTATATGCCCAGCACGCGAGTTTGTTGATCGTCGTCGGTGGGAGCTGTCGAGTGGAGGGGCGAGGAGCCGTGCTTTGTCCTCGCGCGCACCAGCCAGGTTGGGCTGTATTTAGCCTCTACAATTGGTTTTTGCTAATTTTAATCTGCTATCGGCTGGCGTTACCATGTTTTTCTGGATTCCATCGAAAAACGGCCCAAAACCGCATTTTTGGGATCCACGAGCTCGAAAAATCCAATTCGCAAGTTGTCGGAAGCTGACCCCATTCCACGTTTTAATTTCCATTCCTCCACAGATTCGGTCGGACCTTCAGAAGAGATTACCCCCCAGGGGCCACACCACCGAGCTGAAGCCTAATCTAGACGAACCGCAATATTTGCACAGCCGTGTCCCTTATTGCACCCGAGGGGGTGGGGGGGAGAAGCCTGACCGGGGGGCCGCGCCCTCCGTAACCCCGGGATTTACGCGCGATTGTACGCTTTTTTCTAGCTAGGAATACATCCCAAGTCTTCTAAAATGCCACCAACTCGCTACCATATCTTTTTGATGTTTTTAAGGTATTGTCAAGGCTTTTTCTATTCGCCGTCTTGTTTTCAACCTCCGTTTTTGCCTCAGTTATTTGAGTTTTTTTTTGATTGTACGCTTTTTTGAGCTGCAAAGACGACTTAGACGTTCTAAAACACAGCCTGCGAGATGCCGCACCTTTTGTTGTTTTTAAGGTTTTCTGATCGCCCGCCTTTCTTCCGCCCTTAGCGCTTCGATTCGTCATTCTTGTCAAATTTCAGGATGAAAAAATCTGGCTACCATAGTCCCTTTGCTATTTCCAGCAAACTCTGAGGCTTTTTTCTATTAGCCACCCCGTTTTTGCCTCATTTTCTTGCAGCCCTTCTTTTTTTTGTGTCGGCCCCTCGGGGATGCCCCCACCCCCAAGACCGAATAATTAGATTTCGGCCCCCGCCGCACAAAGAAATTCGTGTTTGGGGGTGGTCTTGCGGTTAGTTAGGCCGGGCATTCGGGTCCAATGGTCCCGAAAAGTTGCAGCGGCTGACGGCCGGAGATGGGAGCCCGTTGTTGAGGACGGATGTTGATGAGGCTGGTGACAAGTAAATTGGCAGCGATTAAGGGCTATTAATATGTCCATTCTAAAGCTATGCTAACAGGAGTTATGCTTTACCCTGATCTTCGCTGTTATTTTATACTGCGAAATTTCTGGAATTTTCAAATTTTGAAAAGTAGCGTGTAAAACAAGTTTGCTAATTTCTTCATGGCCCCCTTTAAATGTGGGTACGTGCTCAACGATTTTCAGGTTGTTTGCCAAAATTCTAAATGCGCTTCGACTTAAGATAGCTAATAAAAAAGGACTACCACACAAAAAAACATTAATCAAAAACCCAGAATTTTCCAAAACGGCAATTTTTTTAATTTTCCATCATTTTATAATCATCCAATTTTTATCAGACGCGTTGTATGCCTTTTTGTTGCTCAATCTGCAACAAGCAGCTTATTGTGGGCTTTTCCCGTCTTTTCCCGTCAACCGGAGCGTTGTGTAGTGGGCGCTCGCGCGGGTAAAAGCTGTGATTGCCAGGTGCGGGAATCTCGGGGGTAAATATTCACCCCGGGCCTCGGTGGCGCATTTTTTGTGTGATATAATCTGCACGGGATTCTATTTTAAGTGCTACAAAATTTTCCGAAGGCTGTGCCGCTTTGTAGTCGCCGTAGGTTTATATTTAATTGGTGTGTTATTTTTCTATAGAGTAGCAACAAAAAGATCTCGATAAAAATGCCTACAAGCTAGTTAGCGTCCGCTCAATTCTCCCTCATCACGCCATTGATTAATTCCCATGTCGCTCCTAGCCTCACTAGCAAATGAAAAATTCATTGCAAAAAGGGTGGCTCTTCCCTTTCCGCGAGTATCAGATGTGTTCCACTTGGGTTCGGGTTAAAATGCCGACAATCTACACGGTCAAAACACCAAATTACAAACAAATTGCTTATGTCGGGATTTTGGCTGTCGGCATTTTGGACGGCATTTCAAAAACATTTTTATTTTTCAAATATTTTTTCTTATAATAGATTTTTCAAATGTTTTAGCTCTCGGTATTTTAAAATTTTTATGTCTCTGGATTGGGTATTTTTGAGATCTGAATTTCAAACTTCGTCTTCGTGAGTGTCGGTATCTGGAATATCAACAGCTTTGATTTCGGCATTTTTTTATTTCGGAATTCTTGCTGTCGGCATTTTTGGTTCTCGACGTATTGAGCATCGGATTTTTCGGATTTCGGATTCGGGATTTTTACTGTCGCCATTTGGCGGTCGTTATTTTTTAGCTGTTGGCTTCAGTTGTCGGCATTTTCGGACCTTAAAATTTGGCATTTTAGCTATTTTCCTTTCCTCTCGCCCCCACAACATTTGCAAACTAAATTCCGGTCTCTCGGTCTCCATTCCATGCCGTAAAAAGAGCAAAGCCAGTGCAAAAAAAATTGTTGCCCCACCCGGCTAACAAGCCCTCTTCATACACCGCTTCTAACAAGGGCCCTGTCCCTTTTTTGGACCCTGTCTTGGCGGCCATGGCTTTAGACGGAGGGCCCAGTGGCCGGCCGGATAAATGGCCTAGTGCTTGGCCCTTTTTTGGCCCCCCAAAAGGGCCTCGGTGTGCGTTGCATAAAAAAGTGCAACGGGTCCGCTTTTTCCTCCCCCATCCTCGGGGGCTCTTATGGGCCACCCACCGGGTTTTTGGTGACTTTTAATGGGGGGCTTTTAGCGAGGATGGGATGATGCCTTGGGGTATAGTTTAAGTCTGTACTTATAAACTGACGATGGTATTTTAGAAGTTTTTTTGGGTGCATAACTTTACATTTAGCTCGACTTTCGACGTTTGAAGTTTATCAACCTGACAACAGACGTTTTTTAGGGTTTTGTAAGCCTATCTGGTGCAATACATTTTGGTTTTGATGATATTTTAAATCTTAGAAACCACCTGGTTCAAGAAGTTATGACGCTTCAAAGTATGAAATAAGCTGAAAATTATCTATTTTTCGCGAATATAAAATTTTGCGGTAACCTTTGTGGAAAATTGCACCTCTTGCTCAAAAAATGAATCTTTCAAACACTAGATCTAGGAAAAATTGCAAAATGGCGATAAATTCTTCAAAGAAGTTTATCAAATGAAAATTCGTCGAGCGTCAATTCAAAGCTTGGTTTTTCGCGTAACTAAATTTATATATATTTTTTTTTGTAAGGATTATCAGTAGTAAATCCGATGTCAACGTGATTGGGTTAATTAGGTGAGCCTCACCGTCAAAATCTCAAGCTCATTTTGGGGTTGCGGGGAACGTTACGAATCACTAGCAAATTTACCTACTCTAGCGAAAGACACAACAAACCAATAAATCATTCCACTCTACAACCCGCCGACATTAGATTTTCTGCACGCAAAAACATCCCTTTTTCTCGGCTTTGTCCCCGCCGTTCCAGGGCTATCACCCCGGCCACCGAGCCGCCCCTGGTGGTGTCCGTTCCAAGCCGTGTGGGCCACCCCCGGGGCCCCTTCTTTTTGGCCCTTTTTTGGCCGCTTTGTGACCCGGGCAGGGGGCCCACTCCTCCGTTTTTCTCATCCAATTTCCGCGCAGGGTCCCCCAGGGCGGATGGCCGTCAAAACCACTCTGCGGCGGGCCCACGGTGGTCAGCAAAGGGGCCCGCTGCCCGAGGGCCCTAATCCGATTCACACTTTTTTTGGCGGGGCTTGAGACAATTCTTTCTTTGCTCCTAGACTCATCGTATATGATCAACTGCTTCATACGAGTGTCTTCCCTGCAAAAAAATGTGGTTTTTAAAGGGGAAGCGACAGCAACAAATCGATTTCTAACTATTTTTAAGGTAGTCTACAAATTTCTATTCAGTTAGCCAAAAACCAGAGATTGCGAAAAATTGATACGCCTTTTTTTTTTTGCGTTTTTTAGTTATTTTCTGATCGCAAAAGCCCAGACACCTGCCTTCTTTTCCACTTTTTGCCAAATTAAGTGCAGCCATTTTTGTAGTCGCTTGGGCAAAGCGCGCTGTCTAGAATCTTTCATTCCTGAAAAACTGCTCGCTGCCGCATTCTTAAGAAGAACCTCCGGCGACCCACAGTAATCCGCTTATTAGTTGAGCCATCAAATTTGCTCGCGTATTATCCAAATTTGAAGAGCGTCTTCTGTAAAAACTGGAACCATTCAATATAGTACTATCTATCTGTATATCTGTAATTATTAGACCATGGCTTCCTGAAATTAACGCCTCTAATGTAAGACCAATGCGTATTTTTGTTAAGAAAGGGCCTACCAGTATTCCGTTCACAAAACCGCTCGTGTTTTGATGTAACACTCATCCGCCGAATGCGGCGCGCCGACCGAATGAATAATCCTTGGGGCCTTCGATTTAGGAGAATTGCATTTCTACCTACGATCCATTCCTAGAAACCTCTTATCTTTATTCAAAAACCTGCTCGCTTGGGCATTAAAAATCACGCAGGCTTCTCACGTCCCTATTGTTGGGACACATCGTCATAAAATTCACATGAAATTTCTGAAATTCATAGCCTGAAAATAGACCAAAAATACTTC